AAGAGTTCTTATCGAACTTTAAAGGGATCCGGTAACTTTGTCTTAGATCCTTTAAAAAAATTCTTGATTAAGTTCACGCTGCAATGATAATTATAAACCTTTAGGTCAGTCAGGAACCCCATGACTGTTACAAGCCGATCGCCTGTCTGATTATCAAGATATTTATGATTGAAAATCGAAATCAAATTTTGTGTTTGCTAAACGGTTTACACAACACTACAGTCTATTGGGGAAAACGAGTATGGTAAAACCGGTCATTCAAAGGTTTTTACTTTTTTTGAGCCACTTCTTTATCATTTTGAAGCGGGGTTCAATATAACACCATATCACAGACACTGATAACACGTACGGCCGTGCATCTCAGATTTAACATTGTTAAACGATCCCTTTAAAGGTTTTTTATGTTTTATTTTAAGGGGGGATTCTTGGAGAGTCTAATCTAAGAGATGGGATGAAACTTACAGCATTGATCCAGAACTTGACGATGGGAGCGGTGAAGGTGATGCGAACCTTCTGGAAGTAAGACTTTCTACCATCTTGGTTGACCTGAAACGTACTTATTCTACCACCCTTATCTTGAGGATTGACAACGCCCGCAGATCGTTCATCGATGACTGCTGGAAACCGCAACACGCTTGGGCGTGGCTCGTAACCCTGGTAACAGAAACAGTGGAAGAAAGAAGGGTAGTGACTAATTTATATCTACACTATTTTGCATTTGATACATTTTGGACCAATAGATGTCCACTAGAAGTGTTCAGTTAAATTTTAGTTCACATACGTTCTTCGTTATATGGGCAGAGCTGAGGATTGAAATGGGTGATTCAAATGTTGCAAAATTGTTTTTGAGTTTCTGGTAGTATTGTCTATTATCAAATAAACATTTTCACTTGTACTTAATTAAAGAGAATTGTTACTGAGCTAGCGCCATGAATGTCCCTGGACGGTGTGTGCGCTTTATAAGTTTACACTATCATTTTTTTTAATTATTATTATTATTGAAAGTGCCACTGAGATGGGCACTAAAAAGGCTTTTCATAAAAATGAATTAGAGATTAATTCCAAAGAATATTAACACCCCATAAAAGATGAGAAATGTTAAAGAATGATGACTTTAATCTAAAGATGTGGCCTATGTTGATCAAAATTGATGGTTTTAATGTTTATTCAGTTTTATTTAAAAACAGGGTAGTCTTTTCAGTGCCAAAGGCCTGCTTTACAAAAGAGCCCTGTACATACAAAGATTTACACAAAAGTAGAATACATTGTAGAAAACAAAGACATTATATATACAACATACAAAGCGATGGATGTTATTTAGAAATTCTTATTATCAATAAGAATTTCGAAATAAAAAATAATAATTTGCTTGGGAAGATTAAGAAATTAAAAAGGAGGAATGTGAATTTCTCAAAATGTATTGTTATTTTCGGTTATTCATTCGTTAATCGCTTTGTATTCAATGAACTTGAGGACAGGCCTCTGAATTTGAATAACAATTATTGGTTTAAAAAAAATTCAGAAGCATGGCTATTGGTCTCTTCCCACGTCTACCACTGGTTTTAACCTTCTGATAACTATATCAACTTTAAATTCATACCACTTTCATGGAGGTACTGTCATTTGCCGTGTTCACATCCGGGCTTAAACCGAACTGGGTGTTTCTTCGTGACGTCACCATGTACTCCCCCTGGCCGACGTCATCATCTACGTCATCATTCGTGCACAGTAACCACTGGAAGAAGCCCTGGATAACAGAATGCAAAATTTATGACATTATAAGAATCACGATATAAATGCAAAAAGTGTTGTTTTGAAAATTAATCACATTACGTAGCATTTAAAAATTCACCATCAAGATCATCGTGCGACGGCCGTAGCTGAGATGGAGTTCACTATTCGACGACATTCCTAGAGACGAAACTAAAGTTTAGACCTTATTATTTTTGTGTAACTATTTGAGAAAGAGACCAAAACAGCATGTTACTTTATTGCCTTTTGCGCCCTTCATCCTGTTATTTCATCCCAATGATGGAATTCGTAGTGTCAAAGAAAACAAAAATAATAATTAGGTACTAAGGATCACAGACAGTAAATAAAGATAATATATCATCCCTGTATATATTTCTTTTATATTTCCTTCATTAAAATCAACATTATCAATATCATCATTATTACTATCATCATCATCATCATTAGCATCATCTTCATCATCATTAACATCATCATCATTATCCTTATATTTTACAAATGCTTGCAATTATTTGTTCATTCTGCTTAATAATATATATGTTCATCTATGTTTTTGCAGGGAGGTGGTTTGGGCTGTCTTATTTTCAAGCAAATTGCTTATAATAGCGGTCCTTCTTCCGCCAATAATTTCATAAAGTTTGATGAAATATGATAGTTTGACAAAAAAAATGTTTTCTAAAATAATTATTATGTATATTTGCTTATTTATAGTTGATTGTCAGAAAGTGCATTTTAGTATCTTATGTTAGTTATGTTACCGATTTTCTTTAGATATTGATATGGAATACAAAAGAAAATTAATCAAATCAAATCAAAGTCAAGGTCTACTAATTGATGAAAATGAGCATTCAGTTACCTTCATCCCAGGGATAGTGTTGAGTTGTCCATACCAGTGATCATTCAGCAGCAGTTGGATAGATGGGTGAGCGATGAATCGAGAATGTTTGAAGTTAGCTGCCAGGGATAGACAGGTCATGTGACTCCAGTTCGGTAACTCGGCGCAGAGTAAGAGGCGAGTGTAGGTGGCATCTTCCTCAAAGCATTGCGTCAGGAGGGTGACTGCCAGCTGCTCATACTGCCTGATAATAATAAAGTTAAACAATTTAATTTCAAGATAATTGATAAGGTTTATTGCCTCAAAGAAAACTTATATAAATGGCAAATTGTGAATAATAATTTATGCAACTCTTATGGACAAGTTGACTCAATTTTTCGCTTTATGTTATATTGCAAAGATGTGACTTTGGAAAATAATATGTAATATGATATTCAACCTATTCCAAAAAGAAATACAAATAAACCAAAATATATTACTTATTAGTTGTAGGTGAGATCCGTGAGGACATTGGAAACAAGAAATATTCTCTCTTGAATATTGTTTTAAATCATGCGCAATATGCAATTTATAAATGTTACGTTAAAAAGATTGTTAATGGTTCTATTTATTACCCACATACTTTGTTTATTTGAATTCAAGTCGTTGCTAAGATGACTTTTAAGATATGAATGTCCTAGCAAAGAAAATAATACTAAGCTGGAAGAATTGTTGAATATACTTTAATTTTAAGCCTATGTTATGTTTCATTCAATCATTGAGTAATTGATGTAAATATGTATTGAAATTATGGAAATAAAAACCTGGCTTGAGGAAAAGGGGTACACGACGCACACTTGGTTGGTTGGTTGGTTGGTTATCGTTTTACCTGACTGCTAAGAAAGCATTATATGTTTGTAAGTAAGTAACCAGTGGACCGACGGCTATAAGTCCTCTCCAACGGACTCGATAACGACGAGTAATGCCTTTCCAAAGGGCACGAGAGCATTGACTTGGTTTCGAACCCGGGACCTCTTGGTTACGAGACCACGGCGCTCTACCACTGAACCATCACGCCTCATATGTTATTATGACGTCTATTGCTTTGGTGGATACACTACATGTATTTAGCATCCACTAACATAGCCAGACGTGTTAAACAGGGCAGTTGGGGGGGGGGGGGTGGGTGGTAGGGGTGCAGATAATAAGAGACACACAAAATATCACATAATGCGTTGGCATTAATCCTCATCAGGATTTTTTTATCAGTATACATGTATATCCATAATTCGGTTATTTCTTGTAGTGGAGGTGCCGTGATAATAGGAATTCATTAACTTAACTCTCAATCCAAGGATTAAGGGTTTCAATTTAAGTCCGGCATTACTCTTCCTTTGGCAAGGCATTTATCCACATTCGCCACTCTCCACCCAGGTGTAAATGGGTACCTGGTAATCGCTGGGCACTAACTATTATTGCAGGTCACTCAGGAAGAACAGCCTTGAAGCTGATGAGGCTTCCTTAGGTAAATGAAATTATTTTCATATTATATTATATCATATTATCATATCAGTAGAAATATTAATTCAGAGTTTAAAGCCCATCTGTACTAGTTTACAGGAGGGATTAGATCACCCTGCAAGGTCACTGATAAGTGGTTATCTCATCAAATCAGCTCTCACTTAACATAAGAAAATGAGGATCATCGGGGACCAATGGTCACCGATTAGACATGGTTTGCTATATAGAGGGCGCAAGTAGCTATAAGTAGTACAGTGGGGCTTTAAACATGAATCTAAATTGTGTAAAGGTGTACCTGGATTGCTCAGTAAGCTGGTCAGCTGCATCGGTGTTGTATTGCGAGCGTGCAAAGCGAGACATGGAATAGCAGAGCCGGAATCCTACCAAGGCCTTGGGTAAGGACTCCTGACCTAGCTGCCACATCAGATACGCCATCTCGTGCTTCTTGGTGAGGATGGCCCAGAGGAAGAGATCATTGTAGGGGAAGGGATTGTCAGTGTGAAGGTGCGCTGTCTCAGGCTCGCCCTGGTTTAAAAAAATAATTCGATTCAATTCAATTCAATAAACATGTATGTACTTCACACAAAAAATTAAAAACATATTATGAAATATATTTTTACAATGTTATGTAGGAAGGAAGCGAAATTCCCTAAAAGCACAGGGCTTGCCAAAGGGCTCGCCATAACAAAACAGACATACAATATATACAAACCACATAATAATCGTAGTCTACATAAAATTGCAATAAAGATAATAAGGTAGAGAAGGTGAAAACAGAAAGAAAGAAATCATAGTACTGAAAATGAAGAGTTTCGCTCTAAAAGGGGATAAATCCATTTCAAATGTTTTCTGGTAAATCAAGGATTTTTAAATTACCAATTTCTCTTGTAAATTATCACCTTTTTTGTATATATGGTAGGGATAGGGCCTTCCATCGTGGATTAATAATTATATTTCATTCAATACAAAATTGTGAAAATTGCTGTTTCCTGCTAAAAAAAATGTAACTTTGCTAAACCCATTGTTCAGCGATTTCGTCGGTCTTCAGGTACGGACATGCACTGAATAATTGGATCATGAATCATCGAATTAAGGATGGCTAACAGAGCGATAAAGACTCACGCCAATTTTTTAATTTCAGAATATGAAAGCTTCCTGCACCGATTTTCACCGATTAGCATACCTTTGACAGACTAATTTCAAATATCCAGCATGCAAAACAATTAATTGCGTCTTTATTCCATAACTTTAATAGTAAGATGATACTGAAGCGTGCCACTTAACCAGGAAGTTTAAGTCTCATAACGGCAATTTACATGTAAGTATGAGATTAATCCGTATCTGAGTGCCTCAGTAATGTATGCCTTAGTGAAAATAGGCATTTCAATATCAATTCTTTTAACTTCAAAAAAATGCTAGAAATCGATTTCTTGCTTTTTTAGATGCGTTTAGATAAAGAGACACAATTATATGTACGCACAAAGTAATGAATGAGTGATCAAATTTTGACTGTTTTTAATTATAATAGTTTTGTTCGATTTATCCGGGTGATTAGGCTGGTTAAAAATCAATTCAGTGCATTTATATTAAACTTAAACATTTAGGTTTAAATCAATGCGTAATGTTGTCGATTACACGCTGCTAATTGCTGTTTTTATTGCTTAACTCCGAATAGACCATTTAAAAAATGTAATCAAATTTAATGCACACATCTTTGTTTAAGTGCCTCGTTACAATCTATTTCATTCATCTTTTACGAATAATTGTATTTCAAAAGTCAGAATGCATATTGCATACATTAGCTGTTGCTAGGTAGGACAAGCCATAATGTTTGTCCTACCTAGCAACAACTAATGTATGCAATTCGCCACCTGACTACTGAAATACAATTATTCGTCACAGGTGAATGCAATAACTTGTAACGAGGCACTTAACGAAGATGTGTGCATATTTGATTTCATTACGAAAACGGCCTATTGGGGACTTTTAGATTCGCACGACGATAACGTGGACTGCTAAGTGAATCATCCTTTTAAGGCAATGTGACGTCCTTTTAAGGCAGTGCCCGGCAGTGCCCGGCAGTGCCTTAAAAGGATGATTCACTTAGCAATCCACGTTCTCGTCGTGCAAATCTAAAAGTCCCTATTGCTTGACTGATGACACCCACCTCACAGCACGTATTGTCACCCACGTTGACACAGGTGGTAGCGGTGTGTGGACTATGTCGATGATACTCGCATTCGAACCCTTTACCTAGAAGATGCTCAATGATGATACCAATCTCCTGAAGAGTCACTTTACTCTCATGTTTCTATAAAAAAAAAATAAAGATAACAATAGCTATAATTAATCTTGGCTTGAGATTTGTCCTTGTTCCATAAGCTGACTGGGTATTGTCAACGGGCCCTCTACGAGTTTGTCTATCTGATTCTCACCTCCCCCTACTTTTTCTCTCTTTTTCTCAAAATATGTCAACATGGTCAATATAATAAAAGGAAATACCCATATCAGTGGCGGATCCAGGAATTTCTTACCGGGGGGGGGGGGGACACAAAACGGGCTGAAAACTTCGCAACGACTCAGCCAGCCGGGCGGGGGGGGGGGGGGGCACGTTTCCCCTGTGCCCCCCCTGGATCCGTCCCTGCATATTTCGGATGATATGTAATGTTTATCCCTACTTGCATAGCTACTGTCACTATTTCCAGGAGTTCTATACCATGTATTTAGTTATTTCTCTCTCTCTCTCTCTCTCTCTCTCTCTCTCTCTCTCTCTGCTTAGCCCTTCCCTTCTCTCAACATCTCTTTCTTTCTCTCTATTCATCTTCTATTCCTATCAAACTCTTTCTCATTTGTTTGCATTCACTGCATGACGTTCTTCCACCTTATCTACATCCCTAGCTGTTGAATTTAAATAGACATAGAATAAAGTACCAGGGAACAACGAGTGATCATAAACAATGTAAATAATAGAAAGCTATTGACTGATCGGGTGTATGATATAATGTCTTTGGAACGCCTAAGGGAGTTATATGAATATGAATTATATCTTCCTTGTGGTCCAAAAAATGTATATTTTACCCCTGTCAGTTAACATCTGTTATAATAGACAACAGTGATTACACTTTGTGATATAAAATTGTAATCAAATTTTCCTAAAAATGTACCATAACCTATGATTTGCTGATGATAATGTGAAGGGGAGGGGGCTGCTCCTTATCCACTGAAGCGACGCTCCTGTTTTTTAAATTTACTTTAATGACTCTGAACCACAGTGGTCTCCAATTAGTCCAAGTGCTTATGTATGCTTCTGTTGACATACTAGTTCACTACCTGGACTGTTTCCGTGTTTCACGCCCAGCTGTGTAAAAATAAAACACCCTCGACGCTAAAGCGAGGACGGTCCTTGCCTTTTACCCTCGCACGAGGGTGTATTTCGGGGGTCGCGCGATATGTGTGGGACGCATGTTAGGGAGGAGAACATAGATGATTTAAGAATAAAAAATATATACAAAACGGACAGAACCTGGTCTGTTTACAAACCTGTATCTGTTTGAGCCTGATCATCCCGCTATTGATATTGGCATACCGAGACAGTGAGGATAGCGATGGAAATGGGTCACTTTCCTTGGAGAGAAAACAAAAAATCTGAATTTTAATGAGCTGTTGTATTTGTATATAAAGATACATGTATATATCATAAAAGTTGGCAGAGCTAGTAATGCATCATAAAAAAATCCCCCTTTATACGAAAGTGTACCCATTCTCAGAAAATTTAACCAGCGAAATTGAGAGTTCGATGCAACACCCGAAGGTTTGGTGTATTAAATGTACTTTATCCTTCACTGACGTAGCAGTTACTATCAGATTATCTATTTTATTCGTCGAACGGAGGGAAGGATTTCTTGCAGTCTTGAGAATTTAATTTCACTAACCACCCTTCAGAAGAATCTCTTATCTTTTACACGTTTTAAATGAGTTCACTTCTAAATGAACTCTATCGACTGTCCCTCCATGATAGGTCCTTTTACGAAAAAGTAAATTCCTTCTTTAAATATTGTATTACTTTTCTCTCAGTGCTTCTCTTTGAAATAGACTTTATATACCTCTCTTTAGTATGTAGAATAAATCTAGTCATCTGATTGGTCGAAATTGGAGTCGTGATTTTAGCCATGCCCGCCAACCGGTCAATATTTTTTTTAAAGATGCCTGTTGCCCCAGGTAACGGGCCGGATAAATAAATTTTGTTAATATTCTTGTATTTACCAGCGTGTTATACAGCGACTCTAGCCTTTCTTCGGTGAGGAACTTCTGCATGAAGAGACCCTGTTCTAGGAGAAGTTTGACAAACTTGACTCGGTTCTTCTTCAGAGCAATGTCCATGGCTTCCTCCAGCGCCGATTCCTGTCATCGAGAGACGATGGGTTTAAAGATAAAGTTGTGTCTGGTCATGAGATTGCATTGTGAAAAAAACGGTGTGGCCGGAATCGATCAGAAAAATTGATCATCTAGCATAATAAGTATTGGTGTGTACTGTAAGGTTCTGGAATCATCGAAATGATAAGAAATTTGGCCCAGTCTTGGTAAAGTTACAAGCACTGTCGGGCAGTTGCAGGGTCATATCATTGCCCAAATTTTGGTCAAAATACGAAACAAGTATGCATGTGTGAAGTAGGGTACTTACGTTTACCAATACCACTGGGCAAAATATTGCCCAATAGATGGTTGGGTTGACTATTGGCACAAAGTTGGGCAAAGTGTAGGAAAATTATTGCCCAACATTTTCACAGTGTGGAGAAATATCATTATTATTATTAGTTATTCCTGTTTCCTTACCTCCCATCGAGAGACTTCCTTGAAGATATGTTCTTCGGCAAAGTCAACTCTGTTCCAGATCAATGACAGCTTCAGTTGTTCAAGAGCTGAGAGGTTGCTCGCTGTTATCAAAACACACAACGTTGAATTAGTACTAACAAGAGAAATCAATGCGATGTGAGTTGTTTATAACCTAGTCGGAAATGGAAGGCAGTAATAATTGTGTTAATCTATATTGGGGTCTATTTTCGCGATGTTAGATTCTAATCAGATAAGAAAATATAGGTAGTATTTATTTCTTGAGTTCATTTGAATATTTTTATTTTTGGATTATGAAGAGTACTCCCTTGAACAATCGAAACAGTGTTTTTTTTACTAGTGAGGAACTAGTGTAAGTGTACGAAATTCAAACTCGTAGCCTTTGAAGAGCTATCCCAACAAAGGCATGAAGCGGGCTAAAATCCAGCTGAAACGCGAAAGAGGGCGCCTTGAAAAGATGAAATCTAGTTTTTTGTTAGGTTGACGTACAAACATGGCTGTACGACATTTACCCATACGACAACTGCTCCGCGTCAATCTCCTAGATGAACAGACTTCTTCACTTCAAACCTGGACACAAAGATCTTTATTACCCCAACCCAACTCTAAATAAAACCTGATTGCAACCCTAATTCTAACCTTAGACGAAGTAAAGCCCTTACCATTATTAACGGGTCTTCACAATCATCGACAGCGATCAATGATTCACCATCAATTTTTGTTTTAGTCATGTGATCTAACGACACGATCGTCTTACCTTTCAGAAGAGCGGATAAGATGGCGGAATCGATGTCGACATTGTTATCAGACTCCACGCTGAAGATTGTTATCTAAAAAGAATCGCACACGATAAATCATAACTTTAATCAAAATACATGCTACGAGGAAGGGGTTCGCAGACTTAAAACAAAATAAAATTATCTCTGTTGACCTTGGATTAAAAAACCAGCATGGATCAAATAGGAATGACTACCGAGGTATTTATCGTTTATAATACTGTCAACATACCATTTGAACGATTCAAAGTACACAGACTTTGATAATTGTCCATATTCAAAGATGAACATGATCATGAAGTATGAGTGTAACACTTGAAATTATCCAATGTATCCAGAAATTTTAAAAGGAGGTAGGGGCCGGGATGGGCTTCGCTAGACCTCTTCACGATAGATGGGCGTACTTAACCAAATTAAATCTTAATTAAATCTTAAATTAACCTGAGCCCTGTTTCATAAAACGTGTTATCAATAACAAACTAATATAAATGTTATAACCTACTAAAATCGTTGCCGAGAGCAAATATGTTAACGAAATCAACATTTATTATTGATAACAAGTTTTTATAAAAACAGGGCCCAGATCGAGGCTTGACATGGGCATGATACTCACAAATGGCTTCTGTTTGAGGACCTCTAGTAGTTGTTTGAGTAGAAGACTATGAGCGCTCTTCTCACGAGGGAATGCTGCAGAGATCCTCCTCTTTAACTGCTCCTGAGCTTCATATGATATTTGCCTAAAGAGAGTAGAGAACGAAAGATCCAAAATTGCAAACACACATATTGTGACTGAAACTTATATAATAGCGGACATAAGTCTTGAAAAGTGCATATAATTATTAAAAAAGGTTTCTCACATTTTCATATTTTTGTGTTGTCATTAACATGATTATAAACAGAACATTTTTTTTTTGCGGGGGGGGGGGGGGTAGAAATCGCTCCCCTGACCCCCAACTTCTCAATTGCTTGTATATTTATTAGGATATGTCGAAGAAAACAATAATCACGAACGTTTGATTGAGTCGTACAAAATGGATTCCTTGAAAATTTAGATTAAGAACACCCAACAACAACAAAAAACGCGTTTTTTTACACCATTCACAATAACATCCATCTACAAACAGTTCAAACTTGATTCGGAAATTGCGAACTAGTTATGGCTTGTATGTTGTTAAATATGGCTTTTGTTTAGAGAACGAAATGAAAATTAGCCAAAATTTTAAACAAACACAAATACAATCACAATACCCTTGTTTAGATGAGCTGTTCCTGTACGCGAAGGCGATGAGATCTGCTGCCCGTCCACTGCCCTCTGCGATGACTACGGGGATAGGTGGGTCATGCGTGACGTTCTCGAGAACCACCTTGATAGTGTTCACACCACCCTCTAGGCAAACACAGACTGCTGGTACTGGTCGATCACCTGGTCGAATGGTAATATTGATAAATCATAATCATAACTGGATTTGTAAAGCACTGTTTTAAGGATATACAGTTCTGAATACCATCATTACTCTGACTTTAGCCGACTTCCATGATGAAGACGTTCAACATTTAAAGAATTTCTTTCTTCAACCAGGAACCCATTTACCTAATCACCCGAGAGTGGCAAATGTAGATAGTTATGTTTTGCCAAAGGAGTAATTGAGTACCCTGACAGGGATTCACATCGTGCCATACCGCCTGTAGTCCGGTGATTTGTCCATTAGACCACGACACCACTAATTCCTATACAACATTCCTTTCAGAAAATGCCTTTGTCTTGTATAGAAAATTGTTGTCATAAGCCTTTCATGAAAATGTTGCGATTATGTTAATACCAACTCCAAAGAGAAACGCAAGTCCTAGAAACGAGAAGCTGAATGATTAAAGGTTGACAGTACAGTTTGATTTTATAAGTGTTTTTTTACCTCAAACTTCTTGATGCAAGAAACATCTGGGGGTGTTTAACAAAGATCCTAAGTTCAACTTATCTCTAAGTTGGACTTAAAAAATATGGAAAGCCATTAGCATCTTTGAAAATATTTTGTTAAAGTTATTTTGAAAGGCGTTCATTGTTTATTGAAATCATTCATATTTTCTATCATCAAGGAGATTTCATGTTTTGGATGTGGAATTAATAAAAAGTCTAAAATACTTGAATTTCTGCTTTTGAATATATTTCATTTAAAGACTCCAATGGCTGTCCATAATTCTTAAGTCCAACTTAGAGTTAAGTTCTACTTAGGATCTTTGTGAAACACCCCCCTGGTTAGACCACCATCAGAAATTTCAAGGAATACAAGGACAGGTAGCCAGACATGCAGACAGACAGGAAACGAGGTGAGAGGGTTGTGAACTTACTATTTGCATCAATCCTCTTGCTCGAGATGAGTTTCTCAAGTTGTGATCGCAGTGAGATCTCGACACCAAACTTTCCCACGGAGCCATCGTCCACGAGAATGAAATGGGTGTGGTTAGGATCCAGGGATGCTCCAGAAGCACGATCGGAACTCGTCAGTCGGTAATGCTTGATTCGTGGCTAAAAAGGGTTGAGAAAGTACAGATTTAAATGTAATATCGAAGCCCTACAAAATTGCGATTCGAAATGATCATGAAGTGCCTCAAAAAAGTAAAAATCTTTGAGTGACCGGTTTTACCATACTTAGTTTTCCCGATAGACTGTAGTGTTATAAAAACCTTTAGGAAAAAGGTTTTTGAAATTTCCATTTCCAATCATAATATCTTGATAATCAGACAGACGATCGGCTTGTAAAAGTCATGGGGTTCCTGACTGACATAAAGGTTTATAATTATCATTGCCGCATGAGCTAAATCCAGGAATTTGTTTCAGAATCCCTTTAAGCAATTAGAAGTGAAGAATTGTATCGGTTCAGTTCTGTTCGATTTATTCGATACAAATATATAAAGGTAAACAAACATATCAAAATAATATCAATATGTTACATGACAATGACATAAGCGTAGAAGACAAGAAGAACAAGAAACAAGATTTAAACATGTACATAAATGAAAGTATTGGAGACAAGACAGGAGAGTCTTATGTAAAAGTCTGTCTCTAGTGGTTTTCTAAGATTAGACATGCTTATCTTCTTCACTCAACTCCTTCTTTAAATTCCGTCCACCATGACTCCTTGATTCGAATGGTTAAACTGAATATTGGGAACTGAACCAAGATTCTTCTCATTCATTTACTATTGTTTATGAAAGAACTCGAAATCATGAGATCACGTATCTCGATTAAAACAGTTAGACATCTCCGGTGACCAGGGGGTGTTTCACAAAGATCCTAAGTCGACTTTAACTCTAAGTTGGACTTAAAAATTTATGGAGAGCCATCTGTAGCCTTAAAATTAAATACATTTAAGAGTGAAAATTCAAGTATTTTAGGCTCTTTATCAATTCCACATCAAGAACATGAAATCTCTTTGAAAATCTAAAAGTAACCGAGACAAATCTGACTCACCGTGGTTACATCCTGGCGTCTTTCGATGAGGTCTTCTCTGTTGTCGACGATGCCCCACGGTACGACGCCGATGGCGTTGATCTTCTGTCGTGATCGTAGCGAATGTTCACGGACTGCCATTCCTACGTGACGCATCACACCTGAAGATGCGAATAAAAGAAGAAATCTCAATATTTTAGAAAAGATAATATTAATGATATTTGGTTCTTGTATCACATTTAAACGTCCAAATGAGCCTACAAATTTGAAACTTATTATCCCGTCTTTAGCATTTCAAGGAATTAATTCCTGCCAGGTACCCATTTACCCATGATAATCGATCGAGTGGTACATGCAGATTAATGTCTTGCTTAAAGGACATTAGTGCCGCGACAGGACTTGAACCGCGGACCTTGTGATTCACAATCCGGTGACATATCCACTCGACCACGACACATTTACAGATTTAATAAAAAGGCTATCTAAGGGCAATCCTTCGTTGCTAATATCAGAGTAGAATCACATTTGTTATAGCGGGTAAAGTATAATGGCGCATGTTACTTGATCGGGTAAATACACAACAGAAGATCTCAAGACCTACTGAGCTACCCACTGATGTTTGGTTCAGCATTGTAAAGGTGGCTCTGCCAGAATAGCCCATTAAGATGATGGATGACTAATGGATATTATCTAGACATCATCTCTTTGACATTTTGGAAGTGCGTCAAAACGTAAGTTACTTTATTACATACTTGGTACATTCATGCACTTTCATGAGCTGCATGTTACCAAGCACCAGGATGCTGACGAATGTGATTCGAGAGTCCCCAGGAAGAACAGTCTCGATACTGATTAAAGTAGGTTAAAGTGATACCACACTGTTATCATTATCATTATCTTTAATGGAAGGAAGTTTTAAGAAGAATGGTCAGGTATTTTTAGACAGTGCTAGACATGCTAGATGCAGTATCAGATAAAGGCAGAACTGTGTCTTGGAAATACAATAATGGAAGGGGGAGAGAGAAATGGAGAGGGGGTAGAAAGATTAAGAGGTTGACACGGTTGAGCAAAACAGAGAGGAGATGTGTAAAGAGAGAGAGGGAGAGAGAGAGAGAGAGAGAGAGAGATAGAGAGAGAGAGAGAGAGAGAGGGGAGAGAGAGAGAGAGAGAGAGAGGAGAGAAATGCCAACGGGGGAGGGATGGAAGGAAGGGGGGGGGGGAGCGAGGTAGAACGAAAGGGAAGAAGTGTGATAGAACACGGTTAAAAGTGTCAGACTAACAAAAAAGGTATTTTAGTTCTTAGGAGAATTAGTTATGGTAACAATCAAAACAATGCGGCAGACCTATGACGAAGAGCAGTTACAGAGCAAATATTTAATGAGAGAGAGAGATAGAGAGAAAGAGAGAGAGAGAGAGAGAGAGAGAGAGAGAGTGAAAGGGTGTGTGTGTGAGAGGGAGAGGGGGTAGAGGCGTAGAGACAGAAAGAGAGAGAGAGGGTAGAGAGAGTGTGTGTGTGTATGTGTGTGTCAGAGGGAATTAGGGAGAGAGAGAGAGAGAAAAAAAGTTTGAGAGAAAGTTGGAGAGAGGGAGAGAGAGAGAGAGAATGGGAAAGGGAGATATATATATATAGAGAGAGAGAGAGAGAAAGAGATAAAGAGAGAGAGAGGGGGGGGGGGGGGAGTCATGTTTTTTGGCCTAAGTTACACTTACCTGTATTCGTACCACCAGTCAGTATCCAAGCATCGGTAGATACCGCTACCCTGATGATGCCTTTACTGAAGATTCGTTTCAGTTTGGGTTGCAGAACGAAATCTTTGGCTCCACCCGTTACTTCTATGAGAAGCTTTGGTTTCTTCAGTCCCCACATCTCAGTGAGCAGACTCAGCACCTTGTCGGCTGGTGTGTCGTGCGATAGCCGAACATACTGGTAAAACAGTTAATTTGAAATTATCGTTTATAGATATTTCTCTTTGTAAAAGAGAATTATGTAAAGGAAAGTAAAAAGATATTGTGCAGTTTTATTTTCAGCAGGCCGAACATACTGGTAAAAAAAGTTAGTTTGAAATTATCATTAGCTAAATTTCTCTTTGTAAAAGAGAGTTCTTTAAAAGACGATATTGTGCAGTTTTATTTTGTGACTGTGAACTTAGTAAAACGATTTGGAAGGAGACAGCACGATTGATACACGAACATACACGTTTACGGATTAAGTTTACAAGAGGAAATACATTTTTGGTTTTAAAGTAAAGAGAAATTATGCACTCTATTGCATAGTAACATTACCAAAGCAACACATTTCAGAAAAGCTGAGCAACAGGTTTTGGTGTAATGGAGAAAAAAGGGTTGTACAATATTATGAGAATGAAAGATATATTTATAACTTATCTGGTATGTAAATTTGTTATTGAGTGGCAGTCACTTCAATTTCGTTTGTATAAAAAAACGAGAGAATCATCCTTGTAACCGAGTGAGTCAAACATAAGATGTAACTTTATGATTTTTTCTTTGTTATTTTGAATTCATCAAATATAGTAGCCTGTGGAGAGCTAGATCTCTCTGCTGTTCATTTATGTTTAATTCCAGTGAAGTTGGAAAACTATATTTCAAACTTGTATTGACCAATTTCCAGAAAGGAGAAGCACAGTCCACTCAAAAATTGAATATTGATCATGATAATATTCAAACTAGATTGACCTTGACAGGTTCTTGATCACACCTCGTTATTACGAGAAAAGTATTATCATGGCATGCATATTGAAAATTAATATGATTTTGAAATACCGACCATTTTTTCTCAAAACGTTAAACTTTAGTTATATGTTTACCTGGATTTGTATGCTTTTAACAGTTACAATACGAAAGAGTTCAGTTCTCTGTTTCATGGCACACCTGTATCATATTCTGAAGGGATACTCACTTTAGCACGAGTAGACGTCCACGGTCCTTGGAACTCAAGTTCTCCAAAGGCATCCGTTTGAGATGTCTTAGTATGTGTCTTTGAAGTCCAGGTCGTCTCAGGACCATTCTGAAGTCCTACGTTCTCATCAAGATGACCCTCCTCAAAGCGGCCACATTTACATCTAAATCAGAAGTTATTCATTGAATCAACGTCATCATCAGTATGTCAGTTCAATTTTTTTTTTCTTCTCCAGAATCCATGTCATATATGTACCGTTTTCAATACCTACATTTTCGTCTAGACGATCTTTCATAAAACGGCCACATTTACATCCAAAAGTAGAAGACAATTAATTAAATCAATGTCTTTTCCAATTATTATTTCAAAGGTCCATGTCATCTCTGTACCGTTTTTCAATACCTGCATACTCATCTAGATGATCTTTCCTAAAGCAGCCACATTCAAATCCAAAAGTAGAAGATAATTGATTGAATCAATGCTATCTATTCATCAGTATTGGATTTCTTGGTATGTATCTTTGGAGTCCAAGCCAGATCCATACAATTCTCACCCCCTCATTTATCCTCTACGTGACCCTCCACAAATCGATAGATTACAAGTTACAAAACTTACATAGTTGGTAACATTTCGATACAATTTGGATTAGCGTTATCGGAAGTGATTGATGAATGTTACTGGCGACTATGACATTCGCCTGTGTTGCGAAATTAAGATTCTGGTGCCATTCATTAACATAATTTGAAGAACATAAGGATGACGCATCTTTTTCAAAATGCCTATTTCCATCTCGGATTTTACAATTTAGTTTTGCATCTGCGTTTTCCTTCATTGTCAAAATATCAAAAATGTGGTATTCACATCACATGTGTGGCTACCTACGAGCTCACATACTTTGTCGTATTATCCTTTGTCCGACGGAAATAGTACATAACTGATAACAATTACGTTGCTGAACTGTTGGCATCGGTATTGAAGTGTTAGGAAGTATGATTATAATTGTCTTACTTGGTGACGTCATTTGCTGATGGACAAAACTTGACGCATTCTCTCTTGAAGAAGTTTTCTTTGATAAACAGACTCTCATCTCGGGATGGATAACACTGTATAGATAGAGAGAGATGGAGAGGGAGAGAGCGAGAGAGAGAGAGAGAGAGAGAGAGAGAGGGGGAGGGAGAGAGAGAGACAGACAGAGAGAGAGAGAGAAAGAAAGAGAAGGAGAGAGAGAAAGAGAAAGAGAGAGAGAGAGAGGAAGAGAAAAGTAGGTTGTTAACGATAATTATTTGTTTAGCATTTCTTTTATAAAAAAACTTTAATTTTTATTTTATTTTCGGAGAGAGTGAGAGTGAGGAAGGGTGAAGGGGTATTAAGGACATAGGGCTCTTTTTGAGGGAGTTGCAGAGCGTACATTCAGCCACATATTGAACAAGGAAAGTTTTAATCGCATATCTCACAAGCCATTGTTATACATATATTTTAATGTCTATGGGCTTAACCATTATAGCTATAAATCTTACAGACCGGGTCGCCGCTGAGGCTGAGCAGCGCCCTTAGATACAGACTAATGTTTCTTCTTTTCCTTCTAATACACCTATTATTCATTTATACTTTGCTCATTACTGAACATTGGACAAAGGGACGTTTGAAAGATTCATTCTATCCCCTGGTATAATTGTGACTAATAAATACTGCACAGGGACAAGAAGATGGCGTTTTCCGTCGAATACATCCGTTTGACATCCAAATCGTTTACAAACGCGTGACAGGTGTATGTACACCCGTGAAACAGTGAGAAAATAAGATCAAACTTAGTCATCGCAAGAATGGCATGACATAGAATGACAATGCGAGTGATATAAAGTTATTAATAACAGTTTGGGACACGCAAGTCAAAAGTAAGAGATCAAGGCATTCAGTCTTACTTTTTTATTCAAGTGAAAAGAAGGAAGTTCGATTCTGTTATATATATTTACACTGTCGCTTTATGGATTAAACAAAAATGAAATATTTACACTGATATCTGAAGTCTGTCATAGATCATACTACCACGGAGTCATTCCTTAGTGGATAAGTCGACGAAAGTGTACCTCACATGTTTATTACTAAAAAATGTTTATTAACTAGAATACTTGAATGATTTCATTCAACCAGTGGCATACCCAAAACTAGCCCTAGGCTTGAGAGAATGGGGGGGGGGGGGTGGCTCGCTCTTGGCTTCTTTGCTAGCCCTAATGGCATACTTGAATAAAGTTCGGCACCCCGTCCCCCTCCCATGGCCCCTTCCTTTCTATTTCAAATGCTCTGATCTGCCACTGTTGGTGAATAGTTTAGCCTTTGAGTCCGGTTGATAACACAGTTGTAAGAGCCTTGAACTCTATTCTCTTATAATCCCCTATTTATTTATCATAAAAGTTGTAATGATTGAGAAAAACAATCTGTATACCACGAAATATACCGCACTCCCTTGAGCGGTAACAGATCAAAACTTATTCAAATTATTTTGTTTACAAATCACCCAATAAATATAACAGCATAACTCACTTATCTCCATGACAACTTGAATGGGGACGATACTTTTTGGAAAACAGGAAATCTCGGTTACCACATAATTCAATATAGATGTGCTTGGTTTGACCTCTCTCCGTGCCTCGATTCAATCATATCCGCGCCTTGCACTTTACCAAATAGATAAATTCCATACCCTTATCAAAATATAAACTCTGGATTTAAAAATATAACCCTCGTCCTAACCGAGACCCCATTTACAACCCAAGCCTTGACACCCCTATACCCCCCCCCCCCCCCCCTTCCGCGCTTCCCCATATATACGCCACTGCCCGTAATTCTTGACGGCAGGCAACAAACTTTGTTCTAATTTATGACTGGATCCATCGTATTTTCGGCCACTATCTCTTATCTCTAGTTCATATATATCCTCTTTTCCCTCTCTGAGATGCATGGCCCTATGTGTTATCAGCGTCTGTGATATGGTGTAATATTGAAGGCCTAAACAAAAATTGCGCTTCAGAATGATCATGAAGTGCCTCAAAAAGGTAAAAATCTTCGAGTGACCGGTTTTACCATACTCATTTTTGCCAATAGACTGTAGTGTTTAAAATGGAAAACGTTAGGAAAACGGTTTTTTGACATTTCGAGTTCCAATCATAAATATCGTGATAACCAGACGGGCAATCGGCTTGTAAACGTCATGGGATTCCTGACTGACCAAAAGGTTTATAATTACGATTGCAGCATGAGCTAAATCCAGGATTTTTCTTAGAATTTGAGACAAAGATACTCAATCCCTTCAATTGCCCCCATTTGATCTCTCGGTCCAAAAAAAAAAATCACTTTCTCTCACGTTCAACCAAGACTATTCAAGTTGTTTTATTCTTCCAGAATATGATGCCAAGTAGTCATTTCGCAACTATTTTGGAAGCAATCATTTTGTCTTTCGATTGAAGAAAAATTACGAGGCATTTTCAGTTATGGTGCACATAATTGCATGGATATACTTTTAATAGCAAAAGCATTAGTTCAACAATATGAACAGCGATTATTAATTGAATTATAGTTCGGTTATGAAACCCACTAGTCATTCACTCCCTCCTACTTCTAATCTCCTGTAATTTGCGACTTCATGTCACAAAAGTTTCGGGACACGCAAGAGGAAACACGTAGCTAAAATTCCCATACAATATATTTGACGCACATGTAAGAAGCTAGATTGAAATCACATTTGAATGTCACATCCTCGCTTTTGACATGATTGAAAGCATTCTTGCAAGACGTCCATACTACATTTGCTTGTGTACTAAATGAGGGTACATATATTACCACTTTATTGGCGTCGTCATTACCTGGTTTTAGCTCTTTCAAGTCAGAACTATTGAATTGGCTGAAATTAAAATATTTCTATTATCAATGAAGAATTGATATTTCCTTTCACTAACGTAGAGGGGGAGGGGTCTTTATTTCAAAGATATTCTCCCTCTGTCTCTGCTATCTCTGCTTCCCATTTTGCGTTTTCTTTCTCTTTCCTCAATATTTATGGTGCCTATAATTATAATCTCGAATGCCTCCCTTGCCAGCTTAGATCGTGAAATTAATTTATATTTCTTATTAAAGCAAATGCTTTTTAATGAAATTGTCGGAATAAAGATCTTGACCCCCTCCCCTTCCCCAGCTCTCGACATAAGTTTTCCTTTGTCACGTGCCTATACTGGAGTCATGTACAGTACACGGAAGGGGAAGAGGGCACTTCCTCTCGTTCGAGCAGTCTCCAGGAAATACATGTCTAGGGAACATTGCAATCAACCTTGCCAGACATATCGTCATCATATATAGTCATGTTAAGAAATAAATGAAAACATCCGTCTGTTAATGTCAAGTCTCGCTACAGGCCCAAAGCAGTTATGTGAGGTCTCGTGTTCTTTCAACAAAACGAGAACAAATAATAAAATGTAAAAGTTTACAAAAGAATAACAGCAATACAAATCAACTATTGGGCAAAGTCGCTCCCTCCTCCTTTAATCAAAAGAAAGATAAAAAGACAAATGAATTGAATGATAATACTCAAATTACAGGGAAGTGGCTTTAATGTCAAACATTAGGAGAACAAGTCCAGACCCCCCCCCCCCGCCGCCCAACCTCCATACAATGGCAACTGATACGCCTTTGATATAATATTTTGGAATGAGAGCAGTAAAGGGTGATGGGATGAAACAATTCCTAGTTGTAGGCAAAGTCGTATTTCATTTAAGTTTTGTTTTACTTAAATCCGATTGTTTATTCTACATAGTCTCTACAAATGAACTGTAACATTCCAGCTTGTCTAAGTTTCCCTTTTCTTCCAATTTCCTTATAATAAAACATGATAAAACAATATGCGCCAAAAAGAGTTGAATTCAACATCTTCTTTGATTAATCAAATTTTGCGAATCAAAAGAATGATTATTTAGTAGGGCTACATACCTTGACTTGGCCTAACCCACACGGTGAAGAAGATTCGGCCAGACTATGAGTTCGTGTATACCACCGTGTTGAAATATGTTCTTCTTGATTAGGTAAACTAAATGCGCGAGCCCCCTTCGGTGTCCCTGGGACCGATGACGGCTGCCCCGACTTCATCATCGCTTCCATAGTCGAGCTCAATGCCGACGAGAAGACACCGACTCAATTACGAAATGATTGGTTTGCTCCAAACTCAAACGTTCTCTGACTTGTGTAGTCGTTGGTTTCTTTTCTACGTCTAGCCTAAGGATGCATTGTATAATCTTGTGCAATACTGCCTCTCCTCTCTAAAAGTTGACGCCCTCCATCAGACTCAATTATGAACGTTTTAAAGGAAGTACAACAATCCAAATAGTAGCTCAAACATCGATGATCAAATATATAGGCACTGTAGAAATATTATCCTTCCACCTTTAATGCGCTTTGACGGCTGAGCTTAAACACCAAACTCTCAACTTTAACAAAATTAAGTTATAGAATCCTCACCCCTCCAAAGAATGATGTCGTATCGAATTTGTAAAGCAAAGAAAAGAAATGTAACAGCAAAGAGCTAAATATGACGTGATGTTGTTATTCTTGTCTTGCCGGGTAAGTTCCATGTTGCATTGGCCATTGGCAATATATTTAAGCCAAGGGTTGTAGATTTAGAGCTCAACTAAAACCACGCTTTGGCCACTGATTCGTCATGATCCGGTGGGGTAGGGGGCTGATGAGTCGCCAGCCAAACCCGATCAGACTTGTAAGGATAATAGTCTAACATAACCAGACAGTTTGTATAAAATACCAATATCAATTACCCGAATGTGCCCCCCCCCCCCCACACACACACACACGCCCCCTCTCCCACGCTTACCTCATTATTGGTTGTTCCTTTTTTTTTTTTTTAATTGAAACCTGTTCACGCTTTAGAGAGATTATGTAAAATAACTTTTCATAAAAATATTTTGAAGCCGCATTAAAGATCAGAAAAAACTTTTTGTTAACTATTATAAAAACTGCTTCGAGATGCAATTTGATAAAAGTTAACCCGTTGTAAGCTATCTCGTGCTATAATTATAACCAAAAATGGATATGCACTATTTGACGTAGAATTACACCTGTGTTGCTCGTTATTGCCGTAAAGTAATACCATGGATGATGAGTAGATGAATCAAAGTCACTACCAGGATAATTTTGATTTTAATATTTTTAATCTTAGGGGAGAAAATAAGCGTAAAACTAGCAAGGTAGATATCATTTTCCGAGAGGGTCTTTCCCTGGTTACGAAAACGGAAACTGACGAATCACGGTACGCTCCGCTGTGCTCATTAGCATATCCATTCTTCACCTGCTCCGCGCGCTCGCTCTTGCTAATTAGCATAACATACATATTCAAATACAAAGCGCGTGCGAAGGTACGGTATATGCATAGGGCTAGGAAGTGATCAGCATGACTATTTGAGACGAAATTCAGAAAATATAGAGCTTTACTTGTGCATGTCTGATTTATAAGCTTTGTAATGTTGCAGAGTACCACTGTGTTTCCGAGAGAAAAATCATTCCACTGAGCAATATATAGAAACAACTTGTATAAGAATTTCATAATAACGGAGAAATCGTTAAGAACAAAATGTTCTTATCGTTCCACGAAAAATCGATATGGACCGTGCGTGTTTGCCCTAAAAACACCTTACCTTCTAAGTGTTTTTGTTTAATTATCGTTCAACGAATTAAAGATAATATGCCTCACCTAAACTTTTGTTTCATAGTAATATTGTTACGTTTTCTACGATATTATGCGATGACATTATCAAGCAGGAAATCCCAAACCCGCGTACACAACATACATTGCTATTGCCGTACTAGATCCTTTTTCATTAATTCTTTTATCTGTCAACGTATAGATCGTACCAAAATGTAGGCTTCTTTTCAAGCAATTATGACTATTGATTATGTCTTTATTGTAACCACAACTTTGATATACTATTGGATGACGTAATCAAATAAATATATTTAAATGCAGTGGTAGTGGTTAGTAAATTGGTGAAATTAAGACCTTGCACACCAGCGAGAGTCGATTTTCTTTGAATGTCCTTTTTCAGAGCTTCTTTAGAATATGGAAAAATAGGGGATGTATTATATAATTTCAAAGAAATAGGCCTTGTGATTGAACATCTGTCCCAGTATGTTATTGTTATGATTGTTTAGATTCAGATGAAGGATCGATAGAAAAGTCTGCATATCTGACATGAAACAAATACTATGCGGGACTCCAGGATGCCACTCGATTAGAAGCCTTCAAAGCTTCTTTAATTTCCAAGTAAGTTTCTTTACCACTACCAGCATCAACAAAATTAAGAGAATAGGGAGTTATCTAAGAGTATCAGATGATAGAAAAATCAAACAGTTCTTCAAAAAGTCAGCTCCAAGCAAATCAATGAAGGTGGAGCCTCAAAAAAACTATCAAGCAATATTGTATCCACAGTTGAAGTTCCCGGATGACAGAGCAATACGACAACAATATTGATCTGTCATCCGGGTACTGCGCTTAAGATATTGTACACTGATTTCTTGAAGTTTTAGTACAGTTACCCTGTTAAAAGTCAGAGGTCGGTTTCTTCTACCAGCATAACACAGATCAAGATAATTGGTAGTTATCTGAGACTGAGAGATTACCAGGATGTACCAAGTAGGTATTCATTCATGGTTTCAATTCATATCAATTCTTCTTTTTCCTGAAAATTTCTGATGCACATAATGATATATGTACAGTGCAGATAGGCGGTTAAAAAGTAGCTTGTCTGCATGCTAAAAGGTGCCGTCCCTTAATGCCATTCTGCATGGGGGGGGGGGGGGGCGTTTCACAAAACTTGTCACCAGTGACAAATGACAGTTTTTGGTATAATATATTGAAATCCTGGCTTTTGATTGGTTATTAGCAGATTTGTCACGGATTTTTGTTATTTGTCATTGAAAATTTTGCTTTGCGAAACGCCCTCAGATGTTTCTCGTCTATGGCATACTCTTACCAATGTATACATTAACAATTATCAATAATCGTGATATAAATCCATCTAAATATCATCATAAAGAATTCTTTAAAACGCATAATAATAATGATAATAATAATAATAATATCAAATATTTAGGAGCGTTAAAAACAATAAATATACCATAGCGCTTACAAATACAAATAATTATATGAAAAGAGGACATTGAATGTACAGTGGGGGCGATTGTTTTTGCTTTCCTATTGTCTTTTATCCTTTCTTATAATTCTTTCATATATTATTACCGATAGAGACATGTCACAAAATAAGGCAATTTTTTTTCTTCATTTGTCTGCTTCTTTACAGCCGTTCTTATCCAATTTATTTTTCTAGAATGTTCTTCCAAATGTTTTACTTTGCGATCAGTTTGAAACTTTGACAGCACAATTACATTGGATGAATAATTTAAAGATATTTAGACAGAGTGTTATTTTATAAATATAGTAACGAAGAAAATGAATAGTAATAATGATACTTAAGTTCATTGGAAGAGGAAGTCCACCAAGTAGATTGATGTGGGAAAATTAAATAATAAGAAATCAAATTAGAGGTTTTGAAAGAACGTTATTGAGGATTTCCCTCATCGTATGGTAAGTTTTTTTTCCAGCTGGCTTTATGATCATTCTTCCTGTAAGATTTCTTTATCGTAATTTTCAAATATAATTTTCTTGTGACCTTTCAAATATATTTTCATTTCGATAAGATGCATGAAATCTATAGTCTTTACGAAACAAACGCTTGATATATATCTAATATTGGATGTCTTTGAGTGTGATACAAGAATATATTGTCATAGTGAGAGCATTATATTCTTGTATCACACGAAAAAAAGTCTTACAATATTATTATTATTATTTATTTCAGACTGACTAGCGAAATAACAACATTTGACTTACCTCGGTAAATGGTCTATTCATGTCCTTTTCTGATTCCAAGTTCAAAAATGATAAAATAGTTCCAAAGTTCACAAATTTTCAATAGTTCAGGTTCCAAAGTTCACAATCAAGGTAGGAAGCAAACGATTCATACCAAAATCCAACAGTTGTTCAACAAGTCAGCTCAAAGCAAATCAATGAAGGTGGATCCTCAAAACAGCTATCAAGCAATATTGTATCGGCAGTTGAAGTTCCCGGATGACAGAGCAATACGACAACAATATTGATCTGTCATCCGGGTACTGCGCTAAAGATATTAAATACACTGATGTACTGTACAACATGGAAGATAATAATTGGCATCCTTTGTTTTCTTGAAAAATCATCAAAATATAAATAAATTAATATATAGATAGATAGACAATGTGAACGGAGGGGGGGGGGGGGTAGGTAATAAAAAAAACTGAAAAATAGTGAGGTGGTATAAGATACAGGATACAAAATACATGGACGGATCAAACTATCACGGATTGAAAGATGTCACAAAGTAACATAAAGTTTTATCAACATTCAAATACAAATAATCCATGATATGATATGTATGTATTTTAACTTTGTTTCATTTCCTCTGTATTTGTAACCTATAACTTGCAAAGGGCCTCTTAGGAAAACAGTTTTAGTACTGAGAGAGTTACCCTATTTAAAATAAAACGAATAAATAAATGAATAGATAAATAAAGAATTCATAACCTCAATCTGTTTGTGTGAGTGTGTGCTTCTACAATATTATGATACACACATAGCACGTGCATTCCAGCTTTGTTCGAAAGGAACAAATAAGACAAATAAAAAGAAGAAGGAGGAGGGGGAGCTTGGAGAAGAAGAAGAAGAAGAAGAAGAAGAAGAAGAAGAAGAAGAAGGAAACAAAATTTTGCACTTTGCTACTACGATTCATTTCTCTATGCACCCAATCAATGATTTCATTTCTCTGCTTCTATACATGGACATCTATCATCCTATCATGTTCTAGTATGTTCTTGCGACCATGGCAGCAATAACAGTCGTCGAAAAATTCATATATTCAGAGCTTGATGTTTATTTTAGGCCAAATAATAAAACAAACATATTTAACGTCCTGCTTTTTGAAAAATAGGAAGGAGGAGGCCCTTTTTTTTCTTTCAAACTGGCCGCTCGGTACATTTTCCCTGACAGTCGGGCTATTTTTCAAGATGGCCACCGGCATTTTTTAATTATTTAAACAAAAACAAAAATCAGAAATAGATCAATTTTAGCAGAGTTTTTCATGTTTAAAGATTTTTTTTTTAAATAATTAAAGAAAAAAAAATTAAATTAAATAAACAAATTAAAGGAGGCGGCGGCCCCCAAAAAGGAAGCAGGCTGGGACGCTACACAAGTATATTTTTTGTACATGGCCTTACATAGAATTAGTAAACTACCAAAATTCATGAAATCTAAGCTTGATGGTTATTTTTACACAGAATTAGTAAATTACCATGATCATACTTTATCAAAACGTTTCAGTACGGGAACATAATTCAATGTCATAATCATATTTCAAAATGAGTTTGGAGTTGTGTCACAGTCAATTGAACTGAACGTTTTCAAGTGGTTTGGGTCTCATTCCTTTGTTTAACATGATGTTCTTTATTCCGATATTAATATAGAGAAAGATAGATAGATTTATAGACAGGATAAGTACATATTGGCAGATAGAGGAATACTAGACACTTACACTGATTTCAATACGTTCAAGAATCGATTACAACTACTATGGCAATGAAGTTATTTTGAGACTATTTATTTTGTTTTATTTCATTTAAAACGGGGGAAATTGTGAAAAGTAGGTTGGTATCGGTTTTACGGGTAGGAAGTATACATAGACAAAGTTAAGAAATTGCATTAATAACAATAGTGGGACAGACATTATATAAAACAATGGCAATATCAAATTACGGTTTAATATAGAAATCAGTTTGATTTCTTTGACATATTCGGGATGTAACTTTCATCTTCATAATCTGATGATGGTGAATAATGCATTATACGGTAGAAAGGGAAATAATTTGGCGTTGTAGCTTTATCACAAGGATTTGGCATGCATGCAGCCGCCTGCTGCAAGCATGAATATTCATGACTCATAAATATGCAAACACAAGATGCGCCTCAACCAATGGGGCAATTTTAGGCCTATAAATATGCATACACAAGCCACACCTTCATGGCAACGGGGGTGTTCGGTCTACAACGTCTGCAGAAATCAGCAAATTTATCATCTATAAACATGGCAAACCAGAAACACATTAACTCATTCAGGGAGCATTTGGGTATTGGAACATTATCATAAACCACCTAAAGGGACTAACATAATCTCCTAACTCTTATTTTGAAAGTCAAAGGGTGTATATATATAGGACAAATCACCGTATTAGACGGTGTTTGTTACAACGGGTGGTGCAACACGTAGGACTTTAGTTCTTCAAACGGTTTATTTTGTAAGACTAATGGTATGTTCAATTTTGGGACTAGTCCAGAATTGAAACAGAATGACTAACGATGAAGATATCAGTTAAAAGGGGGGAAGGGGAAGGCCCAGTTAAATTGTCTTTAAACTGTTTGTTTATCATGTAAGCTACCATTGTGTGATAATGTTTGAGTCGGATGAGGCTAATTCACGTGTAAATGATTGCTACCTTTCAATTGTTATGCATATATTACGTTCTTTTAACATTAAAACCCCCGGATATTGACGTCACGTGCATTGAATATTAAGGGAAAATAACGAATTTTTGATGCAAACAGGACTAGTTTAACTAGTATAGGTATGATTTCTGTCGATGTAACATGGTTTTAAAGAGATAAAATGATACTCTGAGAAAGGTATATTTTGAATTTTACTTTATTACATAAGGGGACTGTCTCAACAAAACTGCCTTGGTCTTTTTAGGGTACCCTCGATTCCATGCATTATTATTTGCGTCTGGTCTGTATTTCTGTTTATCAGATTTTTGTAAAGTAATGACTTGTATGTTTATCAACTTTTATTGGAATTGTATAAAATTAAATTTGAGCTTGAACTTCAACTTAAAAATATCAACAAGTGATGTGAGTTGTGTAAGGAAAGTTGGGTGTATCAGTACTGCTAGTATAGACCCAGACTTCTTATACAGTTTCATTAATTTTTGTTTTCATCTAGTTATATACAGTTTTATTTAAGCAGGTTTTTTTTTTTTTTTTTTTTAAAGCAGGATTTCCTCTTCAGTTAACTGAACTGCTATCTCTGATGCTCCTGCACAAATTGTATTATGTTCAATTATTGTTCTAATTTGCTTCCATCCTATAAACGAATTTTGGTTACATAGAGAGAGAAAAAATGAAAATATGATGTAAGGAAGGTAGAGAAAGTGGAGAGAAAAAGAGGGGGAAAGAGATATGGGAGGCAAAGGGAGAGGAAAAGAGTGGGAGAGGGAGAGAGAGAGGAGGTGAGGGGGAGAGAGAGAGAGAGAGAGAGAGAGAGAGAGAGAGAGAGAGAGAGAGATCATAAACAAAGGAGCTCTGAAGGAGACAGACAAAGTATTAATTAATCACTTACAATGTAGTGTATGGGTATTCGATCACGTGACAAGAAAGTGTGAGTGAACGGATGAAGGTCAAGACAAAATATGACTCATATTCAGCTCAAGTTCACTAATTGAAAAAGATGAGTAACTAATAAGACAAAAACATGTACTGCCTAAACAGCACTGTATATCATGTGTAATATAGAAGTCCACCAGCAGGGGGCGACGCTAGTCCACTTCGAAAGGGGGAGGGTTTGGGTTGAGGGGTTGGACAAGACTTGCCATCAAGCAGCAAGCAAGAACAAAATAGAAAGTCCTCAAATTTCAAAAATGTGTGGCAAAGGTAGACATGGTAAACTCTTCTTGCCCGATCTTTAAAATTTCCAACGTTTCAAAAATGATAATAATAGTTGTAATGGATTCTTGTTTGTAGAACTCTTGTTTGGCACGTTGCCTTCTTTTTAATAATCAAATTGAAAAGAAGAAAAACAAAGAGAAGACAAAAAGGTCACAATTAGTTTTCGTTTTTTACCAGCAGGTTTTTTAAAGAATATATGCACATTTTACGGAGTGTCAGAAATTTGTATTGAGTTTTTTACACTCAATTCCCTCCCTCTAGCGGCGTCCCTGTCTATCAGGATTTCATTGACCAGTACAAAATGAAAAGGGGGAAATATGAAATATATTGTCTTTGTCAATTTTATCATCATTTCGTGTTAATAATATTGCTATGGGAATTAGAGAATGCTTGATACCGAAATAGTAGCATGGATAAAGCATCTAGGACACAGATAAATTGAAGTTTTTAATGTTTAAAGTCCGATCGAAATTACGTATAAGTTTACATTTTAGGTCAGTACCTGTGGGCAAGCTGTAGACTGCAGCCCCTCCCCTACCCCTCCTCCGCCTCATACGAAGCCCATGAACCTTTATGATTTAACAATTTAAATATTATTATAATGATGGTAGGTCAACGAAGGTCGTTTCATCCTCCTTTGAGATCATTGTAGACCATATCCGAACTGAAAAAAAAAATGAAATGGAAAGCTTATAAGCAATATAGTATATCACATAAATTACATGCCATTTTTAATTAGATTCTGTCAGAGGAGTATCAGCTCTTTGAAAAATAAAAATCTAAAGTGTTGAAAATTGGAAGTTGTCGACCTAAAAACTTACTATCGATTGATGACATAATCTTACGTGGATTACGCATATTCACAACAACTTTGCATAACTAAGCACAGCTCATCGCCTCAGCTATATAGGTGAACCGGTCGGGTCCACATGTTATGTCGTCACTGTAACTTCGGAAATTTGACACCTGTTGACCCGTAATTTGGGGGGGGGGGTGCGGAATATGAGGTTTTCATTTGCTTTTGTGCGATAATGAAAGGGTAAATACTTGTTATTCCTTTATATTTATATTCTACATTCATTCAGTTTTCCGTTTATATCAAGTAGTTTTTTTTCATCAGATAGAGTCTTTAAATTACTGTAGTGTCCCCTCCGCAATCAAGGAAGGTTCTTTAAACCCTCTCAATAAAAAGATCAATGCGCACGCACGCCGAGTAGCCGAGAAGCCTGTTTCAAATCGGGCAAAGCTAGTTTCCATGCAATCGAAACCGGGCTGACCAGATTAAACTTTAAAAAAGCAGAAACACGAAGTTGCAAACCATCCAGAGACTCTGAATAAATTGCGTTACTTATTAATTAATTATTTCATTACAAATCTTTATTCTCAGTTTTCTTATGAAGACTATAACTGATTTTCTTATAAAATTGAAGATATTTATGGCGTATATATTCATGACTGAATGAACGCCATAAAACATTTACAAACAACAACAACAACCTCTCAAGCCATGTTGCCATTCTTCTTATATTCGTTTTCGAATCAGCTCAGACAGACCGAACGTTGAAGAGGCGAACCATTCATTTCACCTGCTCATGTGTATAATCGTCTGTTAGAATGCAATTTGCATACATTAAACGTTGCTATGTCAGATAAGCTGGCAGATCGTCCTACTCACAGTCGATAGTAACCATTGTGTTAGTAGCTGGTGATAGCAACTTGACAACGGTGCATAGATACACAAAGGGGAAATTATCCCCCTCTTAACACAAACATGTATAGGAGCTGCATGAAAGCTTCGTAGTTTTCAATCGGTCACCCCAAATTGCAACCTCCCTCTGTTTCAGACATACCTGGATCCGCCTTTCATTTGATTGCATTTTATAAAATAACTATTGAGCAATCGTTCACTGTTTATGGGTGGCGTCTCCGAAACTTTTTAAGAACCTCTGATTGCATTCTTCGCATACCCATGATCCAGTTACAGTGAAACTGGCGCCAAATTTTCATTCAAACAAATTTGAGCCACACTGAGCAGTAGTCGAATTCATTTCACTGAGTGTAGCACACGCATCAACGTGGTTCTCTTTGGTTGTAGCGAAACGAATTTTTATTTAGAACTGTTGTGCTGTTTCTTTTCCGCTCTTGGAGGCTGTTTAGGTTACGGCTCGAACAGGCTGGTCTTCCAAGTTGATTTCGGTAGTCGTTTTTGTTGCGTGACACGATGGGTGAGAAGCTGGATGACTCGCACCAATCCGCCAATGATGACGAGAAGGATGTCGACGAGCTAGCCGCGTCACCGAACGCTCTGAATGACAGCAGCAGCGGACAGGATGACGGTATCCTCAACGCATCGGATAGACGAATGATTTCGGCTCAGCACAACCTCAAACCCGATGGCTTCTTCGTTAGGGTTCTCAAGGTCATCTTCTATATTCCGATGAAAATACTTTCTGTTTTTGGTATCTCTCTCTGGCAGAACAACCTACAGGTCTCTGGAAATTGTAAGTACTTACTAGTTTGTCACTTAATCGACATCAAGTAATTATAAGCATTTCTTTAAAATTACTAAATGTCGATTGCACTACTTTCAGTTTTGTGAGAGTAACGTTTGTGAAAATCCCATTTCCAGTCAGAAAATGGTGAAAGAGATTGTGTTTAATTGTGCATGTGCAAGCAGACAACTCAGAAAACCGACTGGAGGTTTGAAAGAAATAAAACCAATTATAAAGTAAGATTGTTGGATACTAAATCTCAAAATTGAGGACAAATCTTCGATTATTCAAAGAAGAAAAACTGCTGAGCAGTACAATTCGGAATTTATTTAAGGCAAATATTTTGTGCGACAATACATCACATTGCCAATACAAATTTGCCAATGTAAAATTCCCTCATGTTAAAGGTACCATGTCCCATTTGCAGGCTCAACAAATGGAAAGGTTAAATTCCAACGGCATTTGAAAGATAATACTATAACAAAAAAGAGAGCTTGAAATGTCTTTAAGTGGGAAAATAACGACTGTTAGTTGTCGAATCGACTTAGGAGCTATAGAGCCAGTAAGTAATGGTCCGATTTTCAGACCATTGTACCGAATGGTTGTACGTTTTATGCTGCGCAAAGATTCAATCAGTTTAGTTTTGGCCACTACAATCAGTGGGTTATTGATGTAGACAAATGCTCATGTACCCTTTACAACTCTTTTTCATGTATGTTATTACCAAAGAAGAAATAAAGCCAGCCAGTCACTCAATAGTGTCCGACAGTGAAGTCTAGTAAGTAAACGGGTTGCATAATTTGAATATTAGAACACTGCTAACATTTAAATTTCACAAATAGGACAAACATGACATATTCATAATTCCTGCAAAGTTCTACAGAATTTGATGTTGGCCGCAAAAGGGACATAGTATCATCAAGGGAAATTAAGTTTTAAAAATATCCTTTTCCCGATTATTTTCAAACTTTCACCGATCTGTTTCAAAATTGTTTGCTTTCATCAAGTGAATTTTTATTATATATTGATATCATTTTAAATAACAATTGCTTTCTAAAAATTATACTCTTACTTAACAAAATGAAACCATTAAGCAACTCGGAACAACCTCTTTCTAAAACGACTCTTTTTACTTCAAAGCAAAAATCGACAAGAGCCCTCTACGCCCAGCATCTACATCACCTCAGAAGAGAAAGAGAGAAGATCTAGACGGATCACCGACTCTGCTTGATGATAGTGATGATGCGGAAGAGGAAGAGGGGAAGAATAAAGATATGGTGAAGGTTATAGATGAGGCTGTAGAGGGATACGAATCAGGAGAGGACAAGGACTTCAAGGTGAGATTACTAATACTGGGGTAAATTGCAGATGATTCGTTCAGCGCCCCCCCCCCCCATCCCCCACTCCCCACTCCCCAACTCCCCACTCCCCAACCCGGCCCCTCTCCAATCTTGCTATGAAGTCCTTATTTTCCAAGTTCTTTTCCCCCAAGTTCTTTCCCCCCACATTCTTTTCCCCCACATTCTGCACATATATTCAAATGCAATTAATACGATTGAATGCATAGTTAGAGGCAAATGATAAATGTTATATATTTTCAGTGGATAGCTCCTGCAGGTCAATGATATCCCTTGCTCTTAAGAAATATATTTCTGTACCATTGGCGGCCTCAGGAGTTTTTAATGATTTTTAAATTCTCTAATTTGCGTAGTTTAGTGGGAGAGGAGGTGCGTGCAATCTTGGAGTGGAATTAACAACACATTTCCCGGATTACCCCCCCCCCCCCCAAGAAAACAAAAAAAATTAAGCAAGTTATTAATATACGATGTTCTTTGATATGGATTATACAATTTCTATTTTTTTTCCTTAACATTTTGGTGTAGAGTTTCTTAGTGTTTTAATTATCATGACGTACGAAGAAGTAGAAGGTGATGATGTTGTTGACTGCTTTCTATAAAGCCCCTCAGGGCTGGTGCTCTTAAAAGAGACAAGCAATGATCATGCAACAAACAATCGATGCATGATGGAGGTGAATAACTGCAGGTGTATGACTGATCTATTAAGAAAATTCAATCACTGTGTGTTATCTCTTTATGCGATTTGCTGGATAATTTTACTGTATTTTGTAGTTTACGTTTGTATATTTGTTTAATTTTTACGCAATGTACACATTAATGCAATTCAGCCATCTGGCTGCCGATGACTTTTTTCAATAAAACCATTACCATTACATTTTTAAGTGTTATGTTACTGATGAACAACTCTCTCTCTCTCTCTCTCTCTCTCTCTCTCTCTCTCTCTCAATATATATATATATATATATATATATATATATCTTTCTTTCTCTTTCTCTCTGTGTGCGTGTGTGTGTGTGTCTCTCTCTCTTTACCCCCCCCCCCTTTACCCCCCCCCCTTTACCCCCCCCCCCTTTACCCCCCCCCCCCTTTCCCCCTCTCCCTCTCTATTTCCCCCTCTCTTTCTTTCTCTCTCTCTCTCTCTCTCTCCCTATCTCTCTCTTTCACTTCTCTCTCCCTCTCTCTTCCCTCTCTCTTTTTTTCTTTTCTCACTCCCTCTCTCTTCCTCTTTCTCTCTTACCCCTCTCTCTCTTACCCTCTCCCCTCTCTCTTTCCCCCTCTCTCTTCCCCCTCTCTCTCTCTCTCTCTCTCTCTCTCTGTGTCTCTCTCCCTCCCTCTCTCTGTGTCTCTCTCCCCTATTCCTCTCTCCTATTCCTCTCTTCCTTTCTATCTTACCTCTTTCTCTCTCTCTCTCTCTCTCTCTCTCTCTTCCTCTTTCTTCCTCTCTCTCTCTCTCTCTCTCTCTTCCTCTCTCTCTCTCTTCCTCTCTCTCTCCCCTCTCTCCCTCTCTCTCTCTCTCTCTTTCCCTTCCTCTCTCCAGCCCGGGGATGAGAGTTCATGTAGTGATGAGTATACCGAGGGAGACACCGAGACTGATCTCTCTAAACTCAGCAATGAAGACGTTTCTGAACCCCGTCCATCCCTCTACAGGAACATCACCGAGATCGACAAAGATGATAATAAAAACAACAAGGAGAAGACACAGGTATGTCTTTGATATGATTAAAATATGAAATATTCATTTAGATAGAAGTTTGTTAGCGGTACATACAAACACATATATCAAAAACAATCCCTACAACGACTATATCCGTAGGACAGTCACCAGGATACCTCCTGCGCAGAAATCATAACCTTGGACAAGCATTCCTCGCCATGCCTTTTTTTTTGCCTCTGTGAAAACTTCCTGGGGAAAATTACCACCGGACAACTATCCCAAACTTTAATCATGTCTATAAACATTCTTTACGTAGTTTTGTAAGAGGGTAAAAATGGATATTTAAAGGGTTAGTAGTAGTCCGGAGGTAGTTGTGTGGAGGAGGGGGGGGGGGGGCGTTATTATAGGGGGTAGTTGTCCGTGGGGAATTGTCTGTTGGTAATTGTCCGGGGCTGGTCATCCTAATACTTACGAAACACATTCACTCGTCGATAATCCTTATTATTGTGGTAACAAGAGGTCATCAAACAATTTTGTTTTGTAAATTCAAGTTTTTGAAATGTGTCTTTACGTTTACACTTTTTATAAATCTAGGAACAGTTTTCACGCTTTGAAACCAAAATGCAAACACAAATTCCGCACCTTCCCAAAACAAAGAATGAATGGAATCAGTTTGAAGAGAACCTAAAACAAACGAGCAAACAGAACGAGTACTTCAAATCGGAGTGCATATTTCTTGGTATGCACTTTATCTAATAAATTCTTAAGTATTGCACTCAATTTCTACTATGAGTACAATTGCTTCACAGATTCTATGACGATTATAAGAGTTCGGATCAGACTAAATAACAAGGAAAATGGTACTTTTTATATTGATTATAATTATAATTTCATGAAACTTGGAAAGGTGTATAGCACCTTGGAAGTGCCCTCAACAATTTCTCTTTAAAAAAAACACTCGTTCTCTAAAACATACAATGTTATAAATGTTAGATCTTAATTGTCCAACGTCAGGTAATTATGTAACCGACCATCTTTTAGGCAGTTGTAAGCCCAACTTGGGCGGTTTTTGCCCAATTTGTAGTAAAAGGTGATCGATTGGGACTGAGAAAGACATTGTCCATATTCGGGGTTGAAATGTTCGAAAAGTTTGGTCGGAAACATTACTTTATTATTATTTTACTTTCTGAGTAAAGTAAATGTGTTGATTTTCATTTCGACAATCCATTCATCCGCTCCTGCATCTTGCTCCATTTATTCCAGATCCCGGATGTGGTTACCATGCCAACCAAGTGTATTGATGAACCCGTCCCAAAGACCGAGTTACAGACCCCAGCTACTGTTGGTGTGATGGGTTAAACCAGAGTTAAACCAGGGTCAAACCAATTTAAACCAGTGTTACACCAGGGTTAAACCAAAGTTAAACCAGTTTTACACCAGTTTTAATCCAAAGTTAATCCAGGGTTAAACCAGAGTTAAACCAGACTTGACCAGAGTTTAACCAAACTTAACCAAATTTACCCCCCTACTACTGTTTTTGTGGCGGGTTCGATATCAACAAATGAAAAACCAAAATTGCACTTTGATTTAAAAACCGAATGAGGAAAGATGCTTAGCTCCAACTACAATGTGTGTAATGGGTTAGAAACCGACTTATGTCTATGCAAATATTGATGTTATGAATTCATGAGTATAAGGGTGTGTTCGAAACTCGTAGGCCTTATTTCCTTGTTACCTCTTGCTCTAAAAAGCTTTTTGCAATCACAGTGTGGTACATTCAGATGACTTTAAACTCCAGATCCCGGCTTCATAAGGTTCGAGGAACATTTACAACGTCTGTTATCTCTCGTATACGATAGAAATTATTTTATTTTTGAAAAAAAAGTATTACTGTATTATTTGTCATTAAAATGTTCTTTATTGTGTTCTATTGTTTATATATATTTTTGTGAAAATATTTGTTTGTCTTTGTATTCGAAATTAAGACGTATGAACATTTTGTGTTTATAGCAGAAAAATTGAACAGTGATAGTCGATGTTTACAATTTTCGTATACTATATATTTTATTTTGACATTTTCTCAGATATTTCTATAGATTACTGGTGTTTTATCAAAGTAAAAATGATTATATCAATAAATGTATGAAAGAGAAATATTGAACAATATAATGTTCCTTTGGTTGTAGCATGTGTGTGTGTTGAATAATTAATATTTGAATAAAAATCTTTGCGTTACAGAATTAATGTCATGGTCGCTTTCTTCAATTTATTTACATTCCAACTGTTCAATGATTATTCATATATGTCTCCATCAAACACACATACATATATCTGCCAATTATGCCTAGATATAACCCTGAGTGAACATACACTGATGTTAAAGCTAAAAACAGATAAACCGACAGTATTGCTTATTACCCACAGACGACCACAAATAGAAAACATGAAGTTTGTGTAAAATAGAATTTTTTCAATATTGTGCAAAGCAGTGGGAAGTCATTACGACCTAGCACTTTCACTAGACAGTTCTTTGATATATACATTCATGTGAAAAAGTAATATCTACATTGCACCCAGTAATATTTACAAACAGAATTTAAATACTTGTAGTATAAAATAGTTATCAGTTAAAAGACATTTGAAATAGTACAGTCAATTTGTTTGAAAATTCAAGATTCCCCGCAACAGACAAATAGCATATACTGTTGATCATCTGCTCATGCATACATGTTTATGCTTATAAGAACGCCTTTAATAACACTAAATTAAGCAGCCCCCCCCCCCCCCCCCAAAAAAAAAAAAAAAAAAAAAAAAAAAAAAAAAATAATAAAATAAATAAATAAATTAATTAATTAAATTAAAAAATAAAAAATAAATAAATTTAAAAAATAAGTTTTTTTGTTGTTGGATGCATTAAACGTTTCTTTTATATATAAAATTGCAAGTTGATAACCTATTTACGGGTTAAATGATAATAACTGCGCGACAAAAACGGGGGGGGGGGGAGGGATAGATATGGGAGGTAAGGAAGAGATTAGAAAACAACAATTAGGAGGCATCATACATCAGGAAATATGTTACCTAAATACAATCTATATTTAAAACGATAGAGACTGAATAGCATTAAGAATATATACGAGGGATAGGGGAGCCGAGAAAAGGTTATAAATCGGGGTCTAAAAATGATATTCCATTTTGTCCTGTGTGCATTCCTTTCAGCCAACTTACATGTACATAATACAGTAGTATGAAATATTTTTTCAAACTTTATAGACTGATAGGAGCAGGCCCGTACAGTTTTTTTGAATGTGTATGTTTTTGGGGAACCCCCCTCCCCCTTTTAAGTTTTTTTTTTTTTTTCTTTTAATAATTTTTTAAATTTTTGAATCCTAATGGATGACCTAAAAAAAGATGACCTTACCCCCCCCCCCCCAACGGAACGGAATGTCGATTGGTCAAATTTTCAAATTTCGTGGCCAAAAAGAAAAAAAATGTCCTCTTTCCACCCCCCCCCCCCTCAAACATTACCAGTATACATTGTCAGAAAAAAATATTAACCATTAAATAAACAAACAAAACAACAAAAAAACATTTATACGCAACCGTCTGAATGAAGCGATCCTGGAATGAATTTCTATGTTCACAACAACCAATCAAAAAAGGGGAGAAGACATCTCTTAAATTGCATTACGATCACATAGTTATTGTGAACATGGAAAGAAAAATAACAGAAGCTTATTAACTACTTTTGCATTAGTGAGTTAATACGTTAAACTGTAATATAAAATGGCGTCCATTGAAGTTTTCAAGATAATTTAACGAAATTGAGCGACCATTGATTGCAAGAAATAGATCAATATCTTGTACAACTGTTATTGAGATATAGTATACAAATATTACAAAATAATAGCTCACATTTGTAATGAGCCTAATGATTTGTTTTTAGGCGCTGCAGTATACATTACCCCGGTCATCGGATTCAGGCTTACCCGCAACACAATGTATGCACAATCTCCACTCCCTGGGGAGCATTCCGACCTGTCGCCATTTTTACAAGCGCCACTTGCTCATCCAACCACATTAGCTTACCCATAGTATACTATCACAGAGTTTTAGATTGCGGTCATTTTCAACATTTTATTGCATTTGGTTCGTATAATACACATCTAGATCGATTTTCTTTGCAATTTAGTGTCGAAACTCCAAAATCACGCCCTATTGGCGAAAGAGTAGCAAGAATATCGTGATTCAGATTATGCACAACTATGGTATTACCATAAAAAGTTGTTTCTTATCACATATTACGTAGACATAAATAAAGTAGAAAACTAGAAATTTTGGACTTGCTTTAATTCACTTGTTGTTAAGTCACACAAGATATCGACCGTAGTGTAGTACCTTCTTTAGTCGTTGAAATATATATATATAAACAATAATATAAATTGTTACGAAGCATATGGCTTCACTCATATTGCACATGGTTATCACAATACGAAATGAATTGTGATAATTACAATAATAGATATTACATAATTAACAACATTTAAAACGAATGTTCGTCAACTAACATTACCGTAGTGCAATATAATGTCATACTTCTTACACAAAAACTGTGTAGGTTTTTGAGTTGTGTATATAGAGTGAATGTCTAAGTGTACCAATGTTACATCCGGGTTCCCAACAGTAAACATTATATATAATAAGATGACAAAGACTTTCGATTACTTAAATAAAGGGTATTTTTCAATATCCTATAAAATATTCCATAGATTCATGTCCAAATTGCGTAATATGGAAATTGCCATATTAAGTTGATTTTTTCGAAAGTCCTTGCGATCTTATTATTTTCACTTCCTGTTAAAGTTGAAGGAAAGTTTCGCGATCATTCCTCATTTGCCCCCCCCCCCCCGAAGTAAGTATAAATATGAATACATATTGAACATTTTTTATTTTCGTTCATCGCCATCCCACACAAAATAACTGTTGCAGATTCTACGAAGACATGAATTGGACGTTTTTTTACTATGAACTAGGCTTGTTCGCAGTCTCAATCACAACTGTTTCAATGACATCCGTCATTTGTCGATCTCTGATCTCGAGTCTTGATACATCCAGCTGTAATTGTAAAGAAAAACAAATATAAGTTTCCCGATTCATAAGCCACGAGACAGCAAGGGAGTTACGATGCCACTGTTTATGATCATTGAAAATAATCACTATAGGTGAACAGTGACGAGGAAACTTCAATAAATTTCCTTTAAACGTTTAAAATGTTGCTTTCAATGATTCAGATATGTCAAATATTATAGTATTTAGACAAAATTATTTGTTTATTAATAAAGGATGGAGAAAAAAATTGAAAATCAAATGAAGAAAAAAAAATGGTACTCTGACGAAATCACACAAATTATGAGTATTCTCAAAATTTATATCAAAGAGCACAGTGATACTCTAGTAACGAAGGATAACACATTTCTTGTATTTCGTACACTTTGTGTCATCAAACAGAAAGCTATTGGACCGCTACATTATACCCTTTGAAAAGATCACACGACTTTGAGGTTGCATGGTTAATACAGTGCTGCTATCTCTTATATTTTAAGAGTTCAAATATTACTACAGTGATGTGTGTCTTAAAGTGTGGAGAATTCAAGTTAATTGTCCCAAGGAATTATTTGTATAGAAAAACGTGATTGCCATCTTCTCTCTCTCCCTCTCCCTCTCTCTCTCACTCCCTCTTTCTCTCACTCCCTCTCTCATTATCTCTCTCTCTCTCTCCCTCCCCCTCTCTCTCCCCCTCTCTCCCCTTCTCTCTTTATCTCCCCCATCTCTTTTTCTAGATAATTATCTCTCTCCTTTTTCCTTATCTCTCTCTCTCTCTCTCTCTCTCTCTCTTTCTCCCTCTCCCTCTTTCTCTCTCTCTCTCTCTCTCTCTCTCTCTCTCTCTCCCTTCTCTCTCTCTCTCTCTCTCTTCTTATCTTTCTAACAAGCAAACATGGCAGGGGTTGCACCTCCCGCACCCCACCCCCTTCTAGCCTCTTCAATGCCTTATTACCTCTCACCCTATCAACCATCTCCTTACCTCCATGGGTTTTTGTCTTGCTCCGTTTATCCTCAGCCTGGCTTTTTTCTTGGTAAAGCTGGGCATTAAACTTTTCTTTCCTCGATATTTCTTGCTGGAGCTCCTCGTCAGACCCCCGTTTATGCTTACTCGGACGCCATTGTTCTTCAGGAGTTCCAGGTCATTTCGTCTATGGTCAGAATCATGAAAACAAAAACTACATTAGTAATACATGAGTGTTAAATAAAATCGTGAGTATAATATAGACAGAATGTTCAGTTTATGACAGCATTTCTACTGCAAACGCTTTTGTTCACAGCCACAAAGACGTCGAAGACATCGTCTGCTATTTTGCCATGATCTACCTTTCATTTCCATTTCCAAGTCATGTTTGGCGCCAACACTTGGTGCCTTTTCTATTTAACACTTCCCATTACAATAAGCAATTTAATTAATTATTACAAACGCTCGCCTTGAGTCACAAAGCATTATAATTAGGTCTTAAAATCACACGTGTTTCAGACGTGTAGAAAACGTGCGCATTAATTTTGTTGCCATCAATTGAACGATGGTGAAACGTCCTTCGCTTTTAACGCAAAGGTGACTTGAGTGTGGATTCCTGCTGAGTTGAGCTTTTATGTTCATTCAAGGGCAAAAGAAATTACCTCTTTGTTCATTCATTTAAAAAAAGGTTTCCAACGTGAAGAAATGTCACTTTACGCAATTACAATTACACGTCACTAAGATCCAATAAGCAAAAGCGTCATTTATTTTCACACAACGTGGGTTAGAATGCCGGCAAAAAAGGGAGTTTATATTCCTTTATTCGAAAATGAATTAAGAAGTACAGAAAAGTGACGGGATATAACTTTCCGTCATTAGGTGATACGGATCGCTGGTCATTGCAGCCAGATAATAATTTAGTTGAATACAATATGAAAGCACCCACAAGCAAGTCTGCAGTTGTGCCAGCCTGCACCATTTACAATTAAATTGAGTGTAATTTTGAACCCTATTTTGATTACTATTCATTATTTATGAAAAAGAATTATAGTGCTTATACAATTTGCTCGGGAAAACCTACAATTTTGTTTACAGAGGGTAAAAAAACATTAGTCATGACTTCACTCTTAATAACACTTCAAAAAATCAATGATAAATTTAAAAAAAAAACAACCTACAGTTTCGTAAGAGTGAATAACAACAACAAGGTCATTACTCACAAAGTTATTCGTAATAACAAATCTGAAAAACGGATGAACATGCAGGATTACTGAATAAATAAGGAAGACCTACATTCCTAAAGTTTCCTTTATAGTCTAAAAGTCACCGCAAAATGTGCCTACTTGAGAAATTTCATTTGGAAATCAACGATATTTGTATAAGTATCAGATTCATTAGCCTACTCTTTACTCATTAAGAGTTTACCCGTACTATAAAAAGAAATGATTATGAGACAAGGGAAAATTAATCGCGAAGCCGTAACAAAAAAAACCAAAAAAAAACAAGGGCAAGTTCAATAGCCTTGTACGTCTTAGTTTGAAATTCGTACATATTTTGAAAATACATTGCGTAATTCGGGGATTCGAGTGAGAGTGAGAAAGAAAGGGAGGGGGAGGCAGTGTGAAAGGGAATACCCCTCCCACATCTCACATCCCTCGATGGCATTGATGGCGTTTCAACAAACAGGAAAGATCACCCTCTTCGACACCTGTGTCCCCCTCCTCCCCCCCCCCCCCCCCCCCCACCAAGGACTGGTGCAACACTACGCAATTAACTAATGTATAAAGAAAGCTTCGATACCACCCTCTTCGGTCCGTTACACACGACGAGACATCATTTGCTTAATGTAAAATGGCGTTAGTGAATGCTTGGACGCTTTGACCACCCGATTAACCATTTTCACACGGTAGCATACTGTACCGTTTTATGAAAAAGTACCACTTTTAACTGGACTTAGGTTATGATCCCTAGCCAGCTTATAGATAGCTCTCAGTGGTAAACCGTGCACTCTCATTACTTCACATGTATAATAATAATAATAATGATAATAATACAGTGCGTCCCAGAAAAAAAGGAAAACGGGAAGTATCGATGTTGTATCATAACTTAATCATAACTATTAAAGGTAATACAAAGTTTTGGTATGGGGTCATGAATTTGGTTCAAATGAACATATTGGAAACATATGCGATCCCACTATTTTCGGTGATCGTTGTCGCGGTTGAAATCGAGGTAAAGTGATGAAATTGTAAATAATAAACTCTTTCGATGTATAGCTCCCTCTCAAGGTCAGGATATTAATTTAGCCATAAAAAAATGTTTCGTGACTAAAATCGACCGATTGGCTATTCCTATTTAGAAATTATATATCACAACTACATATTCTGAGATTTTCAAGGTCGCAGCTACCATTGTATGGCCGTAGGCGCTATCTGAAAATATCGAAATTTACCGGGAGCACCGGTAAATTTTCATATTAATTTTTTCTCGAAAGTAGAAGTGTTTTAGGGGTTAAATTTTCTAGTGCTTATAATACATCCACAGGGGCATCAAATTATTTCAAAATTGTAAAGAATCACTATCCAGCCAATTTTCAAAATTTCCCAAAACTTTGTATTACCTTTAATGAATGATACATATTTGGAAAGCTTAGAGTCTCATCTTTCATGTGATGCTAATCAGATGATGTTTTCACGCATGGGTGATTAAAAGCAATTTGAAGGGAGGAAACCAAAAAGACATTTGGCGGGCGGTATCTGAATTTCGAAGAAAAATGCACATTTCTAGAAAGTTCATTTTCTGATCTTTCATATGACACCTCAATCAGGAAAAATGAGCCAGGAATAACAAAGTTCTGTTTGTTTAAAGTAACGCTTGCATTTCCATTATTTCATTAAACGAAATCGTTTTCAATGGCTGCCTGCCGTAGCAACAAAGAGAGTTAAAACTGAAAATAAGTTTGATAGTATAAATGTCAATACCATTGATATTTCCTCAATTTACTGTAATTTAGAGTTGAAATATCTAACCAATAAAATGTCTGATGTGGAACTAAATGGAAGAAAACGAGCAAATGACACATTATGGAGAAAGAAAAAAAAGACCTGATGCTTTTTTTTTTAGCTGAGTGAAACCATTTGCATCGGATCATAGATTTGATTTATAATGCTATAAACATTTGACATCCTATCAGTCGCCATAAAACCGCCTGTAAAATCAGTCTCAGATTAGGAAGACACACAGTGTGTCAAACTGTGTCTTATCCAAAAGGGGTTAGGGATTATAATCCAGGTACAGTTAAAACTGTGAAATTTTCATAATAAAATACAGTATGCTACCGTATTCTATTGTTGAATCGGGTGGTCAAAGCGTCATAATATACAGTACAGTATACTGACGCGCCTTGTGATTGCGATATCACTGCAAAATGAACTGTGTAACCATTTTGTTTATTAATTGGCGATTGGCGCAGGTAATAGGGACTTTTAGATTCGCACGAAGACAATGGGGATTGCTACGATCGAAGTACTTTTAATGCACTGCCTTGAATGGACGTCTCACGTATCAGTCCACGCAAATCTAAAAGTCCCTACTAACGCAAACGAAAGACGCCTCCTGCATCCAACGGGGATTAGTGAAAATATGAGTAGGCTTGAACGCTTCAAACCGATTCGTTTTCCCTTTCCTACCTCGTGAATGTGACACCTTCATTCTCGTTCTTCAGTCGTTGAATGGCCGAGCTCGACAGCGAGTAGATGCTCGACTTCCGTTCGATGTCACAGATTTCTTTCGAAACCGTTGTCGTCGAACTTGGATTCAGAGTTCGTGCGCTCCGTCGCCAATAGCCAGACGATTCCCGGAATAAAAAGTCAGGGATTTCTTCCCCCAAGGAACGGAGCTCACGGATAACATTAACACGGTCTTCAGGACTGGTTTGATCAATACCGTGCTCAATGATGTCGGCTCCAAGGATCTCTTCGACCACGGAACAGCTGAAAATTAATTATATGAAATCCCACATTTAATATTTCTGAGTAAGGATTGGTAATATAAGAACCAAACCAATGATACAATACGAATACTTCCTTCACGTTTACGGCTTTTAAAAGAGGAAATTCGGTACCCTTACCTCAACTCATTTTTATTCCAAGTAATGGGTATTTTCTTGGATCAAAGGAGGATTCTAATGACAATCAGATGATTATCCAGCAGCAAGAAAGTGAAAATAATACGTTCTAGAAACCAATTCAAAGTTTTCCGAGCTTGTCACACCATCGGCTTCTCTTAACATGCTTAAGATGTCGTCAGCAAGCAATTTCACCATTATACAAGATGCTCGATTATACCTTAATAACGGAGACGCTGGCGTTTAGATGCTCATATAGGAATGTATATCCCCATTGACTCAAACAAAGTTGAGAGGAATACAATACTTGAAATAAATAGAGACAAGGACTATCCCTCCACTAATGAGTAAATAATTCTAAATATGCTCCGAGAACATTTGCTCTAGCTTTATTCCTTCAAAGAAAGTGGGTTTTAGGTTATAATAGGTATAGAATCATCGATAAGGTTGGTTCTGATATTGGTCAATGGTTTAAATTAAGAATTGGGAGCAGTTGTGGCCGTATCACGTTACTTACCGAAGACCTATGGTGTTTTGAATGGCATAGAGGAGAATGAATGCCGTCAGGCCGGTCCAAGCTATGAGAGTAACGATCATTAGAGCTTGAATTCCGAGTAGCTCCCAACCTCCGCCATAAAACAGACCTGGTGAAGACAGAAAACAAAAGTAATTTTGGTGTACATGAGTTTACCTTAAAGATGAAGTTGAGTTCTGGTCATGCGATTGCATTGTGAAAGAAACGGTGTGGAATCGTTCAGAAAAGTTGATCATCTAGCATATAAGAATTTGTGTGTATTGCAAGGTTCTGGAATCATCAAAATGATAAGAAATTTGGCCAAGTCTTGGTAAAGTTACAAACACTGTACACAGAAAGATGTATATGGGACTACACGAACACGTGGCGTAAAAATCCTACCCTGGATTTTTACGATGTTACATGACATATTTAGAATATGAAGGCATTTGAAGAGCCATGCTTTTCAGGGAAGATGTTCTTCCACACTTGCATAATAAGAATGATAACGCTCACAAATTATTTTTCACCTCTTCCCAGAACTCAACCTTCTCTTTAATTTCATCGGAATGATGAGACAAGAAATGTAACAAAATGTACACTCGACATACCCCCCACCCTCCTCCACAAAGAACACCCCCCCCCCCCCAAAAAAAAAAAAAAAAAAAAAAAAAAAATGTCGACCCATTTCTTAAACCTATAGAAAGTTTTTCTCAGTTGAAGTTTTATTTTGAATTAGTGATCCTATGTACTGTAATGTGGTCTCCAAACAATTTCAGCTACTGATGTATGGCGTATGGTGATTATATGGCGCATAATTCATTCCAATATAATTTCTTGCATCTTAAAGCTGATCAGTACTAGTTTACAGGAGGGATTGGACCGCTCTGCATGGCCACTGGACAGGTGGTTATCTCATCAACTCAGCTCTCAGTTAACAAAAGAAAAAGAGGATCATGGGGGACCAATCGTCACCGATTAGGCATTGTTTAATATAGAGAGGGCGCAAGTAGCTACAAGTAGTGCAGTGGGCCTTTAATGAAGTTGTAAAGGTCAAATCAGTTATCTGTGCAGGCACGTAGCCAGAGTTCGATGTTGGGGGGGGGGGCACATACATGTAATCGATCGAGGTAAAAAAAAGGAGTCTAAAAAGGGGGCACGTGCCCCCCGTGCCCCCCCCCCCCCCCCCGTGGCTACGTGCATGTATCTGTGGACAACTAATACATTTCATGCTTCGCTGATAGCTTAGTATAAGCATGTCGAACCTGACATGGCTCTGAATATCATTTGTGTTTATAACAGAATAGTTGTACTACAAATAAAAGTGAGTTTTTACATATCGTTTGTGTCTGTCACACTTGAAATCCGTAATTTGCGATCAGTAGTCCGGTAACTAGCTTATCCAATAGAGAGAAGCTCCGGAGGGAGGGAACGAGGGAGAGAATGGAGGGAGGGAACGAGAGAGAGATGGGGATGGAGGGAGGGAGAGAGAGAGAGAGAGAGAGAGAGAGAGACCTCCTCACTTACCTGATCTGACATTGAGATTCTCAATGTCATCTGGTTGAGCGAAGAGCCCCACCGACAGAATGCCCCATGACGCTGCTAAAGCATGTACCCCTATCACCCCAACGGGATCATCAATCTTGATCTTCTCCAGCAGTGATGGGGTAAAGACTGCAATGATTCCTCCGATCGCCCCGATCAGTAGACCCTCCCAGGGACGGGCTAAGGCACATAGAGCTGAGGACAATCAACCAAGACAGGGAGAGGGGGATATTAATTATCGAATTATTAATTAACTTTTCCAGCATGCACAAACAGCAACACTTCTGAAAGTCTTGGCAAAACTGGCCAACGTTTAGTATTAAAGTGAAATGTTACGTTACACCACACCCTCCCTTGTTACATTAATCTGCTAATATTTTCAAACAATTGGAATTTCTCCCGAGAAGCATACATTTATTTTAACAAAAAATTCGTCTTATTTACCAGATTACCACGTCCACCCATGCAGGGTAACCATATCAGTATTCGTATTGCTCTTCCTGCGAACCCTGATTTGTTATTACCATAATAAGCATTACCAGGTACCCATTTAACACACCATGGGAGTGTTTCACAAAGACTAAGATTGACTTTAAGTTGGACTTAACTATGACAGGCCGCTCATGCCACTGTTTCTTCTCACCATTTACTGCATGACATTGGTCTCTCAAGGGACGTACAAATCATGGTCACACATCTATACAGAATTGACATGTTTTTGATAGTTTATTATTGAAGGAAAATATATTATATAAAGATTATAATGGGGGGAGCAAACAGTGGCATGAACGGCCTGCCATAGTTAAGTCCACGTTAAAGTCGATCTTAGTCTTTGTGAAACACTCCCCTGGACCGAGAGGGACAAACATATTGCCTAAGGATGTAAGAACCACGTAGTGATCGAACCTAGGACCTTTCGTATGATAGTCAAGCGCCTTCACCACAATACCCCATATGCTCCCATTATGTTCATGGCAATATTTAGGAGTAGGAATTATAATCGTGAAGCGGCCCGAACTACCTAAACTCATTCATGTCATGACTACAGCAGTAATTTCAAAGGAGTTTATGGTCAAAAAAGAAGAGGGGGGGGGGGAAGGAGTTTATGGTCACTATCCTTATTCTTCCTTTCTACATGTATATATATTCTGAACTGATATATGACATGTATTTTCAAAGCATTTTAACGTGTTAATCCGTATCAAATTCTACGCTTAGTTTAATAATGATGCGTCCGATTATACAAACGAGTATACATCGAATGGACTCAGTATCTATTTTGCGATGATATGATAGAATATAGATCTACTTGACGTTTCTCTACGTTTCTATATTTTCTCATTAGAAATATAAGTTATTTTTTTAAATAACAGGCGTTACCATGGCAACTTCCAATCCTTGATAACAAAATAAAATATCTAACTTCAATTCCCGAGATGGAAGAAGTACAGAGGAATGCATCAATCACTTCATATCTTACTTAGATGCAAGTACTTCAAAGTACCTCTGACATTGTGTTTGATCAGGATTTAAACCGGCTGAGTGTAGTGCACTCAAATTTTGTACGTGCAGAATTTCTCATGCATGTCATTTAACATTTGATTAGATGAATATGCCATCTACATGTACATGTTTTTGTATTAGCATACGTGCTCTCATGAAAATCTGTTTATGACATTTCAAACAAATTATAGGACCTTGTATAAGAAATACATGGGACATAACAATAGGCCTAATGAGTAACAGCCTAATTCCCGGGAGTTGGACTGAAACATAAATAATTTAATTATTACTATGAATTCACTAATTTGGAAATTTTCAGGATGACAAGACCAAGCATTTTTTATGGATATGGTTACCAAATGACGCACGCTAAAGCAATCTTAAAAATTAAAAGTGACTTGGTAACATTTTTGAAGGTTGATGAAAAAACTTTGTAATTTGTGTATGAAATGTTACTTATTGTATTCCTTCTACTGTACTTACCCTCTAACAGGCAAATAATCCTGAGTAAATTCTCAAACCACAAAAATATTTATGGTTTTCTTTGAAGGCGTCACTGTGCAACACCCTCAAATATCGATTAATAGTAAATTCTCCCAACCATTTTTGAATTTTCCCAATCGTTTTTTCCATGAAAATAAGACATAAAACAGGCTTTTTAAAATCTGTCAACACGGAAATGTTTGGAATGGTATATATAGAGCCAATTCATTGCTTTGTGACGATTTACATTCACCTAAAATGTAATTAAATTGTAATAATATAATTGGAAGAATTAAAGAATCGATCAGATAGGTTCCCTATTTTTATCAATAATAATGGTCTGTTTTCACTCAAACTTTCAGATTGTACATTTAGCATTTAAGTCACTGACTTAGCACCATTTTCTCTGATCTGAACAATGTTACCAAGTACCTTTAATATTAACCGAAATAAGCAACAATTGTTGAACAAGTACAATGGCTAACATAAAAAATGTCTAAGTACAAATATATAATTAAGAATACGAATAGGACTATAAGCAAGCATTTTATCACAACGTAAAACTCAATTGACTTTAATTTTGCATGCAGGTTGAAATAATGCAACCAAGGAAATTGGAAGTCGGTCATATAGGGGAATTTAATATTCCAAAACAAATTTTCTTTAAAAGATTATTCCATCTTGTGTTGCAGATTTGAATCGGAAATATTTCTCAAGCAATTACTAATTTCTAGAGCAAATCAAAATGCAAAATCTCTTTGAACACACCTGAATATAAATTAAATTAGCATGCCATACTCTAGTTTTCTCACTAATTAGGAAATTCTCTAGAACAACATGATGATTAGCGGCAGATCATATAGGACAAGGAGAAACGAGTTCACACGGAATAAGCAAAGTGCAGGGACATCGTTTAGTTGCAGTATCTTTTTAAAAATTTCATCATGTGAATGGAGATCGCAAGATGTGATTAAGTGGGTCTACTTTCATGCAATTACCATGGCAACTACGTGCAAGCGGAAGAAGGAGATGATGGTGAGGGGGGGGGGAGGATGTGAGGAGGGAGAGAGTAAGATAGATCACCTGTACAGGCGACTAAGCCTCCAAGAACACCGTTGATAAGATAGGAAATATCGAACTGGCGTTTTTTAGTTAGCCAGCTTCCCGCCAGACCGACCACTCCACCCCCTACGGAAGACATGATGGTATTGCCTGCCGACCTGACAATGATGACAAAACAAAACAGAAAAAGCATACATTGACAGTGAAGTGCTGACTGGTGAGGTTTGTATCACTATGAACATGACGGACAAAGAAAGAGGACAAAATATACAGTTCCTCATTCTACCCTCAACAATTGCTGTGGTAGACAAAGGAACATCCCTTCACTGCTATTATGTAAACATGTGTAAACAGGTGTCACATGCATATTCACCTGTTCTACACATTTTGACATAATAGCAGTGAAGGGATGTTCCTTTGTCTACCACAGCAATTGTTGAGGGTAGATTGAGGAACTGTATATTTTGTCCTCTTTCTTTGTCCGTCATGTTCATAACTTGTATGTACCTGTAATACCGACCAAACCCCCTAGGATACCGTTCATGAGGTAACCCAGGTCAAATTTGTTGCCGTTCGGTCGATGGAGGTAGCTGCACGCCAAACTCACTATACCGCCACCTACGCCTGACATTACGGTCACGATGGCTGACCTGTGTATGTTACAGCGGCAAAATACAGTTTAATGTCTCAGTCACACTGCATGACTGACTAACCGACCGACTCTATACCGACCGATTTTTGGCCATAGGCGCGATGTAATACCTTGCCTCGGTCTGGTGTCGGTTTTGTTGGTGGGACTATGGGCGGTATACGCCCGACAAGACATTCGTTGTCATGGTGGTATGATGCACATTATTCTATACTAATGACACGCTATAGTGACTAGATCTTCATTGTTAATGTCAAATTAATAGGATAGTAACTTTTGTATATCAGAATAAGGATGCTTTATTCTTTAATCAATAATGATTATAGACATCAGACGAGAGGAGAAATTTCCTTTGAAAAGCATTAAGGCCTATCATGATTATATCAAACCAATATTACCTCGTTATCTTGATGATTACGAACTCAACAAACTATGGCCCTGATAAAGAAGAAACCTTCTCCTTTGCTGAATATTTATCAAAATTAGATACTTACTAAATAGCCATATTAAGACGATAACGAAATCTACATTTAATCTGAAGTGGAAATTAATCAGCGAGTATCTTAACTGATCGCTACATACCTTGTTGCGAGTTTCCATTTTCCACCAGAGATACCAAATGTTGACCCACAGTTGAAGCCTAGCCACCCCCACCACAGCATAAACATACCGAGCAAGGCATTGGTTGGATTGCTCATCTCCATTTTAGCGGGTGGAGTCGAGAAACGACCACGGCGAGGTTTCAACATCAACGTCGCCGTCAACCCCGTAATTCCTCCCACTAGATGGACAGCACCTGACAGATATAAAAATTGAAAAATACCTGTAAATCTAACACAACGGGACATGTAGGGGTATTCCAAAAAATGTATCCGAAAAAGTCAACACTTATTAACACCTGGGGGGTGTTTCACAAAGATCCCAAGTCAAACTTAACTCTAAGTTGGACTTAAATATTATGGAGAGCCATTTGTAGCCTAAAAATAAAATATATTCAAAAGCAAAAATTCAAGTATTTTAGACTTTTCATAAATTCCACACCAAGAACATGAAATCTTCTTAATAATACACAATATGAATGATTTGAATCAACATTTTATGGCTTTTGAAATAACTTTTACAAAATATTTTCAATGATGCTAATGGCTTTCCATAATTGTTAAGTCCAACTTAGAGGTAAGTTCAACTTAGGATCTTTGTGAAACACCCCCCTGCTCCCTTTCTTATTCAGTTTCGCTATTAATCAAATTGATCGCAACTTGAAATACATTTTGTTCTAAGGAGATAGGAGTTTGTTAGTTTACGATTGAATGGAAGAATCGCGATCAATCCGATCCACCACAAGTCTGTATATAAAGCAAGGGCACTGAAAGTTCATAATCGTTTATTTATCATGCTTTCCGATGCACTTTTTTTTTTTTTGGGGGGGGGGGTGCCTTTAAGTTAACATTTTATATGTATGTATAGAACATCCTGAACATGGAGGCAATTTACGAAAGTTAATGCAACAACACTATTTACCCCTTCCGTTCGTAACCATCTCCGTGTTTTACCCCATCAGTCACACCGCCGAACCGATTCTAAACACACCAATCCTTGGTCATTCGATGTAACCTATCATGTTTTGCTCGGGTTGTTCTCGGTCTTGACGATGTGACTGGTCAGTTCTTTTCATTCTTGACAAAGGAAAGGTATTTGCAAAGATTTAGAATGCATATTGGAACATTGATCGTCAAACACTGACAATTCTAGTTCTTCCTTTTATATTCCAAGATAATTTATGTTTTCAAATGTTAGTGTTTTATAACGTTCGCATTATGTAGCCATGGTAACCTATACTGTCGTATGACTCGTCATCCACCACCATCACCACAACTCGCTTTTTTTCTGACTCAAAGCAATCGATATATTTATAAGAAAGCGGACATTATTTCAAAATGTACAGAAAAAAGGTTTCGGGGAAAAATTGACCCATTCAAATAATCCCCCCCAAAAAAATTAATTCGAAAACCGCCAATCTATAAGACATCTGTAACGAGAGCAGACCATAAAACTATAATACCACTACATCGGTTTCGAACGATTGGTCAATTTACAAATTGCATTTTACCATTATCTACATCGTTGTCATGCCTTGAATTATGCGGGATGAATGAGGACGTTTGGTACAATATGCAAATGTAATATTTTACATCTCGACTGTCTCCCATTAGTCCCCTTTTCTACCCTCTCTCTCTCTCTCTCTCTCTCTCTCTCTCTCTCTCTCTCTCTCTCTTTCTCTCTCTCTCTCTCTCTCTCTATACCTCTCTCTGTATTTTTTCTCTCTATCTATCCCTCTCTCTGTATATCTCTCTCTCAATCTCTGTCTTTCTCTCTATCTCTATCCATCTCTCTCCGTCTCTTTCTCTCTCTTTCTCTCTTCTCTCTTTCTTTCTCTCTCTCTCTCTCTCTCTCTCTTTACTTCTCTATCACTCTCTCTCTCTCTTTACTTCTCTCTCTCTCTCTCTCTCTCTCTCTCTCTCCCTTCTCCTTTCAATCTTCTAATTTGTATCACCAATTTACAAATATGAAAAGCTCTCGAATTCATTCTTAGATAAAATTTGCATCGGTTAAAGTGCATTGCAATGCAATGTATTATGGTTATAGTATAATATTATTATACATGATTCGCTATTTATGTAATACTTATATATTTTTTGAACGCAGAAATAAAATCAATCAAACAAACAAACAAATAGTAACCATTTCGGTACCATAGGCAATATTACAACTCCCATTTTATATAATTTGTATCTCTTTATCCACCCTGTTTGATTCAAAAGATTTTTTTTTTATTTCTCATACAAAACTAATACAATAAATAAGTATATTACAACAAAATATACAATAAAACGACAGATATAATAGGAATAGCACGAGAAAAGATAAACTAACTATAGAATCAGAGCTTGTAGAAGTGTTAGTTCGTTAGATGCTGTTTTACAATATATCTTTATGTATACTTAGAAAATCAATAAATAAAAACAATTTATGTAGCAGAGAATTATGTAGCAGAGAAATTATGGATTTTTTTTTTCATTAACACTTGTCATTTTTAGACATGAAAGAAGTGTGTGTCGCTTCTTGAGATTTAATGAAGACAGGATCGTGAATTGTTATGTTACATAATACTGAACAATGTACTATTTTATCCGAGTAGTTGACTCCGTATAGTCAAATTGACGTTTCCACTTTTGGATCGACCGAAATAAAAAAGAAACCTAGTTTAGAAGTACCATCTAATTTGTTCGTCATTGTACTTCAAAGATTTCATAAGTTGATTTTGAAACATCTATTAGATCAAATTCTCTTGACATTTGTGAAATGTGGTTATAATAGGGGAGTTTATTTATACATTCCTTATAGGATAATAGCCGAGTAGGCACCTCGAATCTGTAAGATTGTAAGATCTATTTTCTCAAACATGTAAAAGGTCAACTATCCCATTCCTTATTGTCCAATCCCGCATAGGTATACATGATATTTGAGCGATGCATGTTGATACACAGGTGTTTAGTTGGGAAATGTTTTGTCATCTTGAATAATGCCATATCTCTCGATTACGTCAATTCTTACACTGACTAAAGAGAAGGTAATATACATCAATCGTCACCGTGACGTCATTCATGAAGTTCTGTCTATTCACGATGGAGCACTGAAGGGCAATATTACTAAACACACCGAGGATTGCTGATTTTATGTCGGCATCGTCATAATTAACAGAATCCAAAACTGCATCTACATGTATTCGTATGTATTCAACGAGAAACAAGTCGCGCTCATAATTCTTTAATTTTCATAATTATAATATAAGCATTATGTTCAAAATTTCATTATGTGATGTGATGGTGATACAACAATGGGCTATCTATTTTTAATTACATTTCTACCGAATTGGATTACTGGGCGCAACCCTCGTCCATTTCAAAATCACATTTTACCAATTTTGTATTCATGTCAACAGGTTTTTCTTTTTCTTTTTTTTAAAAACTCGAATACTAACAGTACAGTACATTCTGCTATGTTAACTTAAAGGGAAATCCAACCCAAATAGACAACTACTCTAAAAAAAAAAATCAGAAAAATCATAGAAGAAAACTCGGTCTCGCCCGGTGACTGGGTTTCTGGAGTGGTAGAGGTGGTAAAAATAACACCTCTTTGGCCTGGGGTCGAGTGAGCCCGGATACCACTTATCGATATGTATACCAAAACAAGTATGATATTAAGAGATTCAACAACAAAATAAAAATATAAAGAAGTAAGTAATTTTACTGATTGCGGCAAATTTAATACATTCCCTCCTGTTTTTAAATGATTACCGTATATGTTTGTAAATAAGCAACCAGGTGACCAACGGCTTTAAGTCCTCTCCGAAGGACTTAGTAATGAGAATTAATGTCTTACCAAAGGGCAGGAGCGCATTGACTTGGACTGATTTGGATTGCGGGACCACTACTTTACCCCCTACCACTGAACAGCTATTGTAATTTTATCCTCGATGAAAGCGCTTGTGCTATTTGCAGTGGTGATGTTACAAAACCAGGGGAAATAAGTACGTCACTATACCACGGCTGCGTAACACAAAGGTTTTCGATCAATTGTAAATTTAGAATAACGATCCTGATTAGTTAATGGCCAGCATACAACGATGGTCTTGATTGAGTTTTGCAAACCTTTATGTAACGGGGCCTTGATTTATCATTATCTAAAGTAACATCCTCTTAAAGGCCCACTGCACTACTTGTAGCTACTTGCGCCCTCTATACAACAAACAATGCCTAATCGGTGACCATTGGTCCCCCATGATCCTCTTTTTCTTATGTTAACTGAGAGCCGAGTTGATGAGATAACCGCCTGTTCAGTGACCTTGCAGGGCGGTCTAATCCCTCCTGTAAACTATGGCAGATAAGCTTTAAAGGCCTACTGCACTACTTGTAGCTACTTGCGCCCTCTATATAACAAAAAATGCCTAATCGGTGACCATTGGTCTCCCATGATCCTCTTTTTCTTATGTTAACTGAGAGCTGAGTTGATGAGATAACCATCTGTCCAGTGACCTTGCAGGGCAGTCTAATCTCTCCTGTAAACTACGGCAGATAAGCTTTAAAGGTAGTGTATCCATTTTGCAGCCAACATCAAATTCTGTAGAACTTTGCAGGAATTATGAACAAATTATGTCACGTATAATTATGTCCTATCCGGGAAATTTAAACGATGGCTAATTAGCAGCGTCCTAGTATTCAAATTATGCAAGGAAACCCGTTTACTTGCTATACTTTACTGCCAGACACTATTGATTGATTGACTGACTTCTTTTTTCTTTCGTAATAACATAAATAAAATGAGCTGTAAAGCTGTACATAAGCATTTGTCCGCATCAATAACCCATTTCTTGTAATGGCCCAAATAAAGCTGATTGAGTATTTTCGCAGCACATATTGTACAACCACTCGGTACAAGGGTCTGAAAACCAGACTATTTAATTAAATGAGTGCGCTCGCTAATTTTGATTTGATAACTAACGGTCGTTATTTCCCCCACAAAAAGAAATGTCAAGCCTTTCTGTTTTTTTTTCTAAATTAGTATTATCTTTCAAATGCCATTGGAATTTAATAGATTTTCTTCCATACAGGATATGTAAAGAAACTTATTTGCAATAACTATATATAGGATGCATGTGTGATTGAAAATTTTCTGGAGAAAAAAATACACATTTCTGTTATTTTAGTACAGAGCACATGGGAGGGGAGCTCGCAAGATACGTCATAAAGTTGCCAATTTGAGTTTGATTGATCACAATTTCAAAAACTAATCAATTTATATTTTTTTAATTGGTATTCGCTCAAATTTTCACTGACCTATTCCTCTCAATTTTCTGCTTATATTAAAACCAGCTTAATATCAGAGGGGACTTCCCCTTTAACAATACCATCTTTCCTCTTTATACAATCGGTACACGACCCAATTAGACAAACTGCCAGCTACAATATATGAAGGACTGCTTTGTAAGTAAAAAGGTGGTAATTGAAGACACGACTATGCCTCACCCACGGTCACGTTCCATAACATTTTACTTTCATCAAGCCCATTTACACAACAATACCAAGATCAAAATGGTACGACGGAATGCATGTGCTCACAGTACCGCCTTAAATACAACAATTCCCACCGTGGCGCCGCACAATGCTGGTAAAACAGCGTTGGTTGTAACGTGGTGTAAATACGCAATTAGGCATACAAAAATAGTAGCACAAGGCGTTCAATCATTCCCCTCTTGAAAAAATATATAAAATGTAATATTGCTCTACTTTCGCGGATTTCTTTGTCAAGGGTTGCATAGATATTTGTCGACAGAGAATTTCGGGCAATGGTCTTGGCTGTAAACTTTTCTGTATGTTGCACAACAGGTGTCATTTTGCTGAAAGTTGCCTGAATGTTACGATCATTCGGGAATCGCAGACAAAAAGTACTGTATGGTATCTGCGCTCGCACAAAGAAACTTTTTACACGTAAGCCAATGGGGATCTCAGCAAAATTCATTTATGCGGCCCGTTACCCGGGGCAGCGGGCATCTTTAAAAAAAAACTATTGACCGGTAGGCCGGCACGGCTAAAATCACGACTCTAATTTCGACCAACCAGATGACTACATTTATTCAACATACTAAAGAGAGGTATATAATATGGTTTAAACACGTCATGGAGGGGGAGGGCTGTTTTTTGCTTCAACGAAAGGGGTTTGGATGGGGCTCCTGACGTCTTCTTTTATCGTCCTTTTCCCATTTTCTCTTTCCCTTTCTCTCTAATTAAAAAATAATCTTTTCCTTCTCTTTTCATTGTTCGTCGTCATTCTTTCGGGGGAACATGTGCCCTGTGCCCCTCTCCATCCCTACCACACCCTGTAGCAGCGCCTTTGCGGCTTCAATCAACAGTACTCACCAGCTCCGGCAATATCGACAGCACCCATTTTATTGAATACTCCAGTCTTAGCCCAAATCCAATGAGCAGGGAAGCAATAGATGAGTGTGTTCACCAGAGAGAAAACACAGTAGGCTTCAAGTTTGGTCCGCTCTGCCATCGCGCCTGAAAAAATAAAGAAAAACAAACACGATTGAAAATAAACACCCTCACAACATCACGACAACATCCATCTGGCGAAAATCATCCAACGACGATGGAAAACGCCATTAATTTCAACAACAACAACAACAACAAAATCAAACAAAATTGGTTTGACATGGCATGAACCTATCTTTCAACATAATGTTGATGAAATATATAATATTCGAAAATATCAAGCAATGCAAGTATTGTTTGTTTCTTTAAATTTGTTGCTTGATTTACCTCACAAAGTCGCTTTAGGTGAACACGTAGGCATGACATCTGTCTGTACTTATAAAAAAATATCAACACCGCTTTTTGTTCTGTCATCAGCAAATGAAATCTTTTGTAAGGATTTGTAGATTCAAAAAGCAGATAGAATTCATTATGATATCACGTAAGAGTAGCCAATATTAAGCCGTTAACGGCATCTCCATACCAATGCACTATTCAATCGCGTAAAGATTTCTTCAGGGAGCTTAACTTTTTGATGTAAAGAGCGATAGGCCTCCACGACACTAAATGTCAAGCATAAACTTAAAGCCATTTAACCTCACATCAATGACTATCAAACTCAGTAGGCAATCACCCGTGTATGCAAAGGGTTCGAGAAATTCAGTTTCAATGTCTTGAAAGAACAAAACAAAACGCGTGATTGCTTAATTCTGATATTTTATGCACTCTTGATGTTTCATATAATTATTTGTTTCATTTATCGTTTCTTACATCAGCTTTTTGACTCCCCAACTGAGCTTTATCAAATCGACAAATGACCATTTGCTTTATTTTTATCGAAATAAAGAAAGCACTACTATTTTACGTTCAATGGTCTAGAACTTTACAATGATTTAGTATTTGATTTTAAAAAAAATATGAGAATCGAAGTGAGAGAGGGGCAGCACCCCATTTTCTTTAGGTATTCGTGAAAATGATCTTTAAGTGTATTTCGATTTTATGTTTTCCAATATTCTTTTTTTTATGAAAAATAATGCAGTCCTCTTAGTACTTGTGAAATAAATCTTCGTAGCAATTTAAAAAACATATGTAATTAAATTTACCAATTCATGCAATGACGTTATCAAAGAATCATGCAAGGGTGGCAATTCAAGTCAGTAAAGTGAAATTATTATTGAGTGAAAATTTCTGGAAGACTGACTTAAAGTCTCTCTGCACTAGTTTGGCATGGAGGGATTAGACCTCCTTGCAAGGTCACTGGCAGGTGGTTATCTCATCAAACCAGCTCTCAATCAACATTATGAAAAGGGCATCATGGGGATCAACGGGTACCGCTTAGGCAATGTTGGATTATAGAGGGCGCAAGTAGCTATAAGTAGTGCAGTGTGGCTTAAATCTCAGTTTAGACGACGAATTCTTCGATTCTTGATATGAGGTTTTATGGGGAGGGAGGGGAAGGCTCGGGGCTTCATGGAATATCTCAACATTTCAAGATATTCAAGATCTATTCCAACTCCATGATCTAATCGAAGACACGCAAGAATCATGTAGTCGACCATGGGTATGTTTATGCTCAACTTTTTCTGACCAGAATCAGGCAACTGTTACACTTTTTGTTCAAAACACGGTTGCGTCCTTTCTCATTTTTGTAGAATCACCGAAAAAGGCGATCACGATCGCCGATCGTAAACTCACAAAAAGGTGCGTTTACGATCGGCAATGCTGCAAAATCGGCGATTCTGGGAATACGCACAATCATTTGTAAACGCGTTTAAATGGGGTCAACGCACTGACCTCTAGTGGGTCTACGTAGCATGCGCAGAGCAGGTTTGCGAATCCAGCTGCAAGGCCACCTTGCCAGATTTGCCTGGAGGAGCCAGAGAAGCGAGCATAAACAGTACACCGTGGAACTGCGATTACGATGAGCTCATTCTACCTTCGAAATCAAGCATAAACGCACCCCATGTCATGATACAACTGGAGTACGTACGCTGCCAGTTCCATGCTTAAGTCAACCGTATAGAAACATGCTCTTAAACATTTCACAGTTTCAACGGCAACTCTTGAAGTAATGCACCGAAGTCCTTGACGAAAAGTGTAACAGCACGTACATACAAAAGTGTTAACATTTAATTGATATTTGAATATTTCTAAAGATAATTGGTTTCTTTCAAAACGGGAATTAATTGGAGAGCATTTTCGAGGACGAAACGTGATTGACTTTCGTCATGAGTGGCCGAATTCCCATCTCGTATTCCATGGAGAGGCTTTCAATCATCAAACTAACTATTAATTGGTTGTTCTCAAACAATAACAAACACGATGTCAATTACCGCCCTAGGATCAACTTGAAAAGAGAGAACTATTATCGATGATAGATTACTAATTTCCTGTCATAATTCCTTTTCTCATTTCAATAAACTGTTCCATCGAATTAGTAGGTTATATTGGAAAGCGTATAAAGGGTTTATTCCTTGATATTCGTCATCAGTGATGACCCACCATGCAGACAAACCTTAATTAACCTACTTGATTCGACGTCGCACCACCTTCTGCTCATTCTCACTCAATTAATTCACAAAAGGTGGACATTGAATTAAGACCGAGAGAATCTTGTTTGCGGTGATTGGAGGAACGGATGTCACACCGACGAGACTAACAACTGACCTAAAACAGGCCGTTTTCGTGATGTATCCAAGTTAATATGCATTTGCCTTTGCAAAGGGCCTCAAAATGCGAATTATTCATTCACCTGTTACGAATGGATGTATCTCGATAGTCAAAAATCAAATTGCATACATTCGTTGTTGCTCTATACTGCTTTCTAACTGGCTTCTATCGGAGTCTCACCGATGAAAATACCGATTGAATTTTCCTTATGTAAACACAGGTGAAACCGCAAATTTTCCCCTGTCGCTTTCTAACTGCCGGTGAAATTCACTCTCTGTAGCGAGCCCTTGCCGGAAGTGAAGAATTATTGCGTAATTATTAAGCCCGCGCTCCTTCTAGCTAGCATGCAACATGTTCAACCATAAGTCAACAAACACGGCTGGTTACGATAAAGCGCGCGTATACTGCGACCTTTGACCATTTTTATCGCTGTTTTAATCGCCTTTTTCTCCCAAACGCTTTCTAACTGGCCGTTTCATCGGTGTCACACCGATAGAATGAGAATTTCTCCTGCTCTTGAGTAGGAGAATTTAACCGCCTATTTCTCTTCTTTTCGTCGGCTATTTAATCGCCTTTTCTCCTCTGTTGCTTTCTAACTGGCCGTTTCATCGGATGCGTCCGGATGCATCCGATGAAAATCAGTGCAGTTAGAAAAGATGACAAACATTTTTGCTTCCCTTACCTAACAGCACGTAATGCAATTTCTGTTCGGGGTATGAAGTACAATTATTCGTAACAAGTGAATGAAATGATAATACATATCAAGACACTTTAGTAGAAATATGATTTAATTACGAAAATAGCCAATTGCATTACCTTGAAAAAGACAATATTTTAATGTCTTCATCAGCTCCAGTTTGCCAAAATAACCCGCTATTTTCAGACTCAGGATATTATCCCGAAACTCGAAATTGCGTTTTCACCAGACCGATACGCTCATCACAAATTAACTAGCTCAGACGGGCGCAAATTAGCCAGCAATTTCCCAAATAGTGGGATATTTTGGAAACAAGACCAAGATTTCTCGGGATATTTTCTCGACCAAGTGTCCCGCTAATTGCACCTGCGGGCTGATGAAGACGCAAATTAAAGGTAATACAAAGTTTTGGTATAGGGTCATGAATTTGGTTCGAATGAACATATTGGAAGCATATTCGATCCTACAATATTCAGTGATTGTTGTCGCGGTTGAAATCGAGTCTAAAGTTAAGAAATTGTGAATAATACACTCTCTATTTTGTATAGCTCCCTCTCAAGGTCAAGATGTTAATTACGCTATAAAACACGGTTTCTTGACTAAAATTGACCGATTAGCTATTCCCATTTAGAAATTATATATCACAACTACATATTCTGATATTTCCATGGTCGCAGCTACCATTGTACGGCCGTAGGCGCTATTTGAAATTTATCAAAATTTACCGGGAGCACCGGTAAATTTTTATATTCAATTTTTCTCGAAAGCACAAGTGTTTTAAGGGCTCTATTTTGTAGTGCTTATAATGCATCCACAGGGGCGTCCAAATATATCAAAATTGTAAAGAATCACTTTCCACCCAATTTTCAAAATTTCCCAAAACTTTGTATTACCTTTAACTGGCTAATTTGCGATCGGGATAGTTAAACTAGCGGGTTATTTGGCAAACTCGAACTGATTGGAGTTGGTTATATCAATTAGATCGAAGAAGCCCTTCCATTCTTAATACAAGGTTTTATGGGGAGGGGTGGGGTGGGTGTCGGGGCTTCATGGAATATCTCAACATTCAAGATATTCAAGATCTATTCCAACTCAATGATCTAACCGAAGATTTGCAAGAATCATTAAGTCGACCTTAACGTAATACGATTTGAGTACGTACGCTGTCAGTTCCACGCATGTAGAATGAGCGATCTGAAACGCTCATCGTAAACGCTCATCGTAATCGCAGTTCCACGGTGTACTGTTTATGCTCACTTCTCTGGCTCCTCCAGGCAAAGCTGGCTGGGTGGCCTTGCAGCTGGATTCGCAAACCTGCACTGCGCATGCTACGTAGACCCACTAGAGGTCAGTGCGTTGATCCCATTTAAACGCGTTTACAAATGATTGTGCGTTTATGCTTCCCAGAATCACCGATTTTGCAGCATCGCCGATCGTAAACGCACCTTTTTGTGAGTTTACGATCGGCGATCGTGATCGCTGTTTTTCGGTGATTCTACAAAAATGAGAAAGGACGCAACCGTGTTTTGAACTAAACGCGTAACAGATGCCTGATTCTAGCCAGAAAAAGTTGAGCGTAAACATAGAAACACGCTCTTGAACATTACACGGTTTCAATGGCAACTCTTGAAGTAAGGCACCGAAGTCCTTGACGAAAAGT